GATTACAAGTGGTTGAACATTTTTCATATGCCTGTTGGCCATTTAATGCATGAAACTTTAATCACCCACATATATTTTAGAATAAGGTTCTGAGTTCTAAAAAAGATTCCATCAGACTTTTAATTGGTGTTACTCTGAATTTTTTGGTTACTTTGAGCAGTTCTTCATCTCTAACATGTTCATCTGTCCATCCGTAACCACAGGACATCTCTCTGTTTAATGAAATCTTTAAAAATGTCTTTATTAATTTTCCCCATAGTACGTATCACTGCATGAGATCCTGTTCATTTATTTCTTCATTTTTTTTTTTTTTTTAAAGATTTATTTATTTATTTATACAAGCAGTGGGTACAGTCAGAAGCGCGGGAGGGTGAGAGAATTCACCAGAGCCAGAGAGGGGAGCAGAGCAGGCAGAAGGACCGAAGTACATTGCTGAGGGGAGCAGCGGGCGGCAGGAGAGGTCTGCGCGCCATGTGGGACCCTCCTCCGGTGGCCGGGGAGCAGCCGGGGATCGAACCGGCGCTACAAGGCTGCGGGCAGCTTGGCAACCCCGCGCTCAACCGCTGCGCCACCAGGGAGGCCCTCTTTTTTTTTTTTTAAGATTTATTTATTTATTTATACAAGCACTGGGTACAGTCAGAAGCACAGGAGGGTGAGAGGACTCACCAGGGACAGGGCGGGGAGCAGAGCAGGCACACTCACGAAATACACTGCTGAGGGGAGCAGGCATGGCAGGAGAGGTCTGCACGCCATGCGGGACCCTCGCGGCCGGGGATGGAACCGGCACTGCAGAGGCTGCGGGCAGCTTCGCAGCCTAGCACTCAACTGCTGCACCACCAGGGGAGGCCCTATTTCTTCATTTCTTTACCTGATTACTATCTGTCTCATCCTACCACCTCACCTCAAAATGTGACCAGAAATACTTCTTTTATTCACCTGGGTCCCCAGTGCTGAGACATTACTGACCCTGCTTTATTTATGAAAGCAACTGAGGGGCCTTCCTGGTGGCACAAGGGGTTAAGACGCAGCACTATGAAGCTATCCACAGCCTCTGCAGCACGAGTTCCATCCCCAGCCAGGGAGACAGCCACATGGCGCAGCAGACCTCTCCTGTCTCGCCCGCTGCGCCCCTCAGCAGTGTACTTTGGTCAGTCTGCCTGTTCTGTACCCCTCTCTGTCTCTCACCCCCTACACCTTTGGCCTACACCCTAGTTTTTGCATGCATAAATAAATAAATCTTTAAAAAATGAGAAAGCAGCTGAGGTTCAGTGAAGCTAATGTACTAAAGTCCCACAGGTGCTCAGTCAAAGCGCCAAGACTGATCATAACGGAAGTAAAGGGGGGAAGAGCCTGCTGGCCAGACAGTGGAGGGCATGCTGCTCATCTAAGAGGCTTGGGCTATACCTCTGAAGGTTAGAAGGAGATTTTGAGATAATGTGGATGAGGCAACAGGAACAAGGAGGATTAGGTGGCTCCAACAGGCAGCGCCAGAGCAAAGAAGGGCGTTCATCCACATGTGGGAGAGAGGAGAGGGAAATAAACCCCACCAGCTGCCAGAAGAGGGAAGTGAATTTGGACTTCAGACATCTGGACCGTTGTGGGGGATCAGAGACTCCCTAGGGAGACCAGTCAGTGGCAACTGGAGATGGAACTGAAGCTCAGAAGGGAGACCAAGAGGGAAGTAAGGATTTTCGAGCCAAAAAGACAGTGGCACTAGGCATTTGTCAGCAGTTCTGTATATGCTGACATGGGAGGATATTCAGGATGTGGTCATAAATGAAAAATACAACAAAGCAATGAAAACGGTGTCTGTGCTCTTCCCTTGTATTTGCACAGAAGGGTCTGAAAGGACACATAAGTTGGTTTTTGAGAACAGAATATAATTAGGTGGGTTTTGGTTTTTTTAATAGAACAACGTATGTGAAAGGACTTAGCTGAATAAATAACTGAAACCTCAATGTTTCTTGTCTTTGGGGAATGATCCTGAGCTGCATGTGGAGTGTCCGCTTCCCAGGTGCACGTGGGGTTCCCCCACGCCGAGGTGACTCATGCCATTCCCAGGGGCGCTGGCTGCCTGTTTGTCCTTTGCTGCTTGGGGCTCTCACTTCTTGTCAGCCCAAGCCCTGGCCCACTACGATTAGAAAAGAAGACTGATCATACACATGTTGACCTACTATGTGCAGGGTGCCACAGCCACTCCTTCAACGTTGTATTAGTTTCTTTGCAGTTGAAGGAACTCAGATTCAGAGGAGCACTTAGACGTTTACACAGTTAGTAAGGAGCAGCATCAGGACTTGGAATCCAGGTCTCCTGACCCTAAAGCATCCTTTCTCCATAATTGTCCCTGCTTCCTGGTAATTTGTTACTTACTCATGCTGAGATTGTTAAGTCTCTTTGATGTTCAGAGCACTCCCTGTGCACACCCCTGAGGGTTATAAAAAGGAGGGACATACTTTGAGAAAGTCCCCCTGTTTATTCAAAAGGCATCTGCTGACCACCTATTATGTGCCAGTCCCATGGCAAGTCCTGGCACTGCAGTAGAGGAGGCAAGACTTTACCTCACAGCCATCAGAGGAGCTGGGCAAGACAATAGCCAGGTGCCCACCATGTGTTTAAAGTGCCCCCTGGAGTGATGTCTCAGTTGAATCTAAAATCAGGCCTCAACTCAAATGCCCATGGGGCAGGCAGCTAGGTCATAGACTATGAGCTATGCTCTGCCTGGATATGGGAGATGTAGGCATGCTCTTCATATCCACACAGATAATATTTTCTTCCATTTTTCTTGAACCATGACTTGTGGAGTTAGCAATTTGAGTGCATGGAGATCATTCACTCCTCTAAACCAAGAGTGTAAATATGATGATAAATGGTAACTGCCTTTGGCCTTCATAGTGGGCATGTAAAAGGGAACAGTAAAGACCAGGGCCCTGGGAAAGGATGTCCCAGTTGACTGTTGTCATGTGGGAATCTGGGCAGGTGTTTTGATGGTGAACACGTAGATCATTCCAGGCTTTGGTCTCTGGTCCAGTGTCTCTGGTTATTTCGTTAGGATAGACTTTGAGCAGTAAAATTACTGAATCAAAGGGTATAAACTTTTTTAAATGTGCCACAGACTGCCATATTATTTTTTCAGAAATATTATGCCAGTGCACATTGTCACCTTTCCAGCATCAAATTGTTTTGTTTCATGACATATAAAAATATTACATAAATTAACCTTTTACTTCCTTGATTGCTGAGGAATATTGTTTCATCTATTTACAGGCCATTGTATTTCTTCTTCTGTGAATTGACAGTTTATAGTCTTGGCCAATTAAAATATCTTTCAATTATACAAGTAGTAAATATTTAACAGAAAAAGAGAAAATACAGATGAGTAGAAAGAGAAACAAATATTTCCACCACTGACCACTAACTACTCTTAACATTTTGGTGTATATATATCAGGTTTTTACCCTTGCTTCAGTGTCCGTAACTATATATGTATTTTATTTCTCAAAGATGAGATCATATTGTATGGCATTGCCTTTGCACCTTTATATTTCCACGTAACAATATGGTGTGAAAATATTTTCAGGTTAAGAAATATACAAATTTGGGCCTCCCTGGTGGTGCAGGTGTTTGAGCACTGCACTGTGAAGCTGTTCGCAACCTCTGTGGTACGGGTTCGATCCCAGCCAGCCAGCAAGAATCCCACATGGCGCACAGACCTCTCCTGTCTCGCCCGCTGCTCCCCTCAGCAGTGTATTTCGTCAGTCTGCCTTTTCTGCTCCCTACTCTGTCTCTGGTGAATCCTCTCACCCTTCCGCGCATCTGGTCTGTACCCCAGCTCTTGTATAAATAAAACAAATCTTTAAAAAAAAAAAAAAAGAAAAGAAGAAAAAAAAAGAAATATACGCATCACTTAATGATGGGAATTGATTCAGAAAAATGGGGTGTTATGCAACTTTGTCATTATGGGAACATCACCGAGTGTAATTATGAGAACACCATTGAATATACTGTCTGTCTTTGAAACATCATCAAGCATTGCATGCCTATAGGTCTATAGTCTCTAAAATTATTTTTAGAGACTGCATTGTATTCCATGGTAATGATGGAGTTCATCAATCTTCTATTTTGGAGTTTAGGTCAATTTTATTTTGCATTGTATATGTTTATAATGTAGTGAATCTTAGTAAATATCTTCAATTACTCCCCTAGGATCAATTCCAGAAAGAGAATTGCTGGATCAAAGGTTATATATTTTGTTAAGGCTCTAAAGTATTACTAGTTACATTATGTTACAAATTATGTGTTTGTTTCCCAAAATTTCTATCAGTTTATACTTTCACTAGCAGCGTATGTGAGTGCTCCGTGGCAGATAGCATTCTTTTAAGATGTCTTCAAGGTTCTTGCCCCTCTTGCACAAAGTTTTCCAGAACTTTGTCATTGCCCCCATCAAAAGACAAAGTCCAGGGTTCTTCCCTTTGAACTTCAGTGAGGGGTTCTGTCTACTTCAATCAATAAAGCGTAGCAAAAGAGATGTTATCTGGCTTCTAAGGACAGTACTCACTAACGCCCTGTGCTTCTACACTGTTGTTTTTGGACGACTGCTCTTGGCACCCAGCCACCGTGCTGTGAGGAAGTCCAAGCAGCCCGTGCACAGACACAGGTAGAGGAGTTTGGGCCCCCTGCCCACAGCCCAGCTGAGCTCCCAGGTAACAGCCAGAATCAACTTGCCAGACAAACCACATCCAGACACACTGCATGGAACAGAGATGAGCTGTTGTCTGTTGATGAGAACTGGGACTCCAAGTGCATGGGGTCTGCTCAAATTGCAGATTCATGAGCAAAATAAGTGGCTGTTGTTTCAAAAGACTAAGCTTTGGGGGGGTGGTGTGTTATAGCAATAAGTGATACACCTCCCTTCCCCTCACTCTAGCATGTGTCATCTTGTTTCACTTTCATTTTACCAACAGGATAGACAAAAGAAGCATCTTTCATTTGGTTTTACTACTTTGGCTCATTATTTTTTATTTTAGGATTTATTTATTTATGCATACAAGAACTGGGGTACAGGCCAGAGGTGCGGGGAGTGAGAGGATTCACCAGAGACAGAGTGGGGAACAGAACAGGCAGAGTGACTGAAATACACTGTTGAGGGGAGCAGCGGGTGAGACAGGAGAGGTCTGCTGCGCCATGTGGGTAGTTCCCTGGCTGGCCAGGGATCAAACTCGTGCTGCAGAGGCTGCAGATAGCTTCACAGTGCTGTGTTTAACCCCTTGAACCACCAGGGAGGCCCCTACTTTGGCTCATTATTTTTAATAGGGCTCTAGTGTCGTTCTTATTTATAATAGGACTTTGAAATCCTTCCATCCTATTTGTTTTCTTTGTTATTTTTTTTTAAAGATTTATTTATTTTTATACAAGAACTGGGGTATAGGCCAGAGATGTGGGGGGTGAGAGAATTCACCAGAGACAGAGCAGGGAACAGAACAGGCAGACGGACCAAAGTACACTGCTGAAGGGAGCAGCGGGCAAGACAGGAGAGGTCTGTCCCGTCATGTTGATTTCTCCCTGGCCGGCTGGGAATCGAACTAGTGCTGCAGTGCTGCAGATTGCTTCAGAAATGTTTATTACAAAAATTTTTAAAAACACACACTTAAGTAGGTGTCAGTATGAAGCTGTGTAGGCACATGGGCACATGTTGCAGGAGGCAAAGCCTTCCAGGCAAGTGAGAGGCAAATCACACTACAGGGGTGTTGGAGGAAGGGAGTTAACAAGGTCAAAGCTGTGGGGGTGCCCTGACCCCATGCCTCATCCCTACAAGAAGATGGGCTGCACCTGGGTGCCCACAGCCCCACCCCACGGCAAGTGGGGAGGAACGAGGCCTTGGGCGCCACTCCTCTGGGACCTCCCCAGATTGCTAGAAAGAGGCTGCTGAATGAAGCAGCCCCTCAGGCCCCTGGTCCCCTATCACTCCCACCTCACGTCCTTGGGTCTCAGAGAAACCTCCTGATGACCCCTTCAGCGTACCTACCCCAATAGGTCATGACTTTCTCACTTGTCTGTTTTCCCACTAGCATGTAAGCCGTAACGGCAGAGAGCTGCTGCCACCCATCACAGCTCTCCACTGTTTGTTTCCAGCTTCTACCCAAATGTGTTGGGAAAAAATGCTTGAATTTTTAACAGTCTTTTGTTTAGAATTTCTTATATTTACTATTTTTCTTTGTTGACTTTGACCTGTGATTTCTCCTCTGCCTGTGATGCATTTTCCCTCCTTATTTTCCTTGCTGACACCCACCAGCTCGTCCTGCAAAACCGTGCTCAACTGTCTCCTCTAGGAAACACTGTGAAGGCTCAGCAGGTAAAGGCAGAAGTGAGTTTGGCCCCAGAATAAGGAGCCTCGGCTTGGCAGTCCCCCACCCCCCAGGACTGGCCAACTTGGGAGCTCTCCCAGGTGCAGAGAAGCAACCTGACTCAGCAGCCCAGCTCCCAGCCTGGCAGACTGGGTGGGGGAGTAGCCAGCTGCTGGTGGGCAAAGCCAGTTTATGCTGCTGCTGGAGACCCCTGGGGAAATCAAGGTGAAAGGCGGCAGTCCTGCTGAGGAGGAGGCCCAGCCCTTGTTTATCAATCAGAGGGGCCGGGACAGGCCAGAGAGAGGTTGCGATGAGGAGGCATACCCACTGGCAGGGCGCCAGCAGACCCCAGGGAAGGTTCTGCTTCCTGGTTTATGCGCTGTGGGTAGACATGGCTGCTGGGGCCTCTCTAGCCTGGCCCTAATTCTGAACCTAATGCTGATGGACCTCCTCTGCACTTGCCATTTGTCAGGTAGTAGGGGAAGTAGGTGGACTCAAGTAGACTTGGCCAAGTGCGCACAGGAGCCTCTAGCATTCTCTTGGGGGTCAGGGTTACACTGCCAATCATGTGCGGGCCTATTAGCCATGGGCCCAGAGGAGTGAGTGAAGACAAGCAAATCCAACTCAGGTGGGTAGGGGGAGGTGCATGATGAGGGTAGGGACCCTCAGACCACAGACCTGCAGGGAGGCTCCAGGCTGGACTCCAGAGATCCAGGTAGCTACAGAGGTTACTCTGGGTCACTGTAAGCAAGGAAAGGGGAAAGGCTGACCCTGCGCACGGGCTCCCTGGCCCTCCCCAGCTGTCCTAGCAAAGGCAGCATGCTTGGCACCCACCCTGCTCCACCCAGTGCCATCTGAGCAGAGTGAAGATGTCAAAAGGAAAAACTCCAAATCGGATTGAGGCCCCTGCTTCCCCTTAATGAGGTTCATTATCAGGCCCTCTGATCCCAGTAAAACCCAGCAGGCAGGCAGGATTAGGGGCAGGCTCTCTAATCTAGCTGACTCCTCCCTCCTGATCTGCCTGCCCAGGCCAGTTCCACAAAGAAGACTTGACCTACCTGGAGGGAGAGCTGGGCACTTGGCTGAGGAGGCTGGCAGGTGCAGAGGAAGTTTCCTTGAACAGAACAGGGAACAATGTGCCAGGTCCCCCAGGGAGGTCTGTCTCTGGTGCACATAGAGGCTGAAGGGCTTGGGGAGACAAAGCTCAGGCCCCCATTAAGAGAGAGGGGCTGTGACAAAGGAAGCCAGGAGCTCTGTGAGATGGGGCTGGATTCCACGGGCAGCTTGATTCTGCGAGTCTTCCATGTACGAGGTCTCCAAGTAGCAAGTTAAAGAACACACTGGTCTTGCCTTAACAAAAATAATTTATTCTACAACCTCCCAATCAGTGGGGTGGAGTTGAAATCAAACACATGTAGGGCACCATTGTCCCACTGACCCTGGTAACCTCTACATGTCGAGGGTGGGACCTCTAGAGAGATGATACTCCCCTCAACCCAGCACCCTCTACATTCAAAGTCAGCATCTCTGTGAACACTAAAATCAAAAGATAAAAGACCCAGCTTGAGAGGGGTTAGGACAGCGACTTAAAGGGAGAAATCAAAGCACATTTGAAGCAGCCATCTTTCTCCTGAACTTCACTATCTCTCACTGCCAAGCACAGAGCTAAAGAACCAACCTCCCAACCTCCCAATCTCCCACCCTCTTAAGCTCCCTCCCTCGACCCAACATGACCCTCTCATCAGGTCCTGCCAATCCGACCCTTCAGACCCCAGCTCAGGGACAGTCACCTGCCAGCTGTGCAGCAACTCTGCCTACACTCTTCCGGAAGGAGGGGCTTGGGGAAGGGGCCAGTCATAGGCACTCTTCTCACAAACTCTGACCCACACCTCACCGAGGGGGCCAGCATGACCTCCAGAAGCTTCTGGGCTCCCTTCTGAAGCCAAACTGCCCAGCGGGTCTGAGAGGCTGGAGGGTGGGTAGGCCACAGGGTGGGTTGGACAGTCAGGGGCTGTCCCTCCTTCCCTGGTGAGAGGCCTTTGCATCCAGAAGGAGCAAAGGGCAGAACCCTAGCTTGTACAAGGAGCTGCACTCCAGCCCTCTAGCCCCTCCTCGGGATGGGAAACCTTGGAAACTGTGGCTTCACTTGCTCCAGTTTAAGCCAATACCAAGTAGGAGGCACTGAAGTGTCAGCAAGAATGAGGCAGGACTTCAAATGAGCTGAAAAAGAGGAATTTGGTGCTGAGAGGCCAGGGACTGAGCTTCCCGACCCAATTGCCAGGGCTGTCCTCCCCCAGGGCTCTCAGAAAACCTATATTCTATGCATGTCCCTGGAATACTCCAGAAGGCCCAAAGGGGTTCACTGGACCAACAATTTTCTTGGATTTCCCTGGACAAGGAGCAAGGGGAAGTGGGCCAAGAAGCTGGAAGAGCACCATGGATGGCAGCTCCCTTTCCCAGTCCCCTCCCAGTGGGATGGTTCAGGCTGTGGGGTGGCCAGCACGACCCTTCAGGGCCCTCATCTTGGCCCGGAAGTAGGTATACATGGCCAGCAGGCCCAGGAAGGACAAGGAATAGAGAGCAATGTAGAGGCTGATGTCCAGGTGGGAGAAGTTCCCTCCCAGCACCTGCAGCCAGTGGCCTCGGCGCCGCATGGACCCAGCCTCTGGCGCCCAGTCAGGGATGTTGACCAGCTGCCTGGAGCTGTGGCCCACTCGCCTCAGCTCTAAAGGACCCCTGGGGAGCCTGTCAGCCTGGAACTCAGCCAGCATTATGGCTCTTGTGTCTCGTTTCATCAAGCGTCGCTGCCCTTTTGGGGGTTCCGGCTCATCCATCTGAAGCTCTGCTATGTGCTCAGGGGGTCCTTGGTCTGGCTCAGCGCTGGTCAAAGGGAAGCCAGTGTGCATCTCTGGGGGGTGGCTCACCCCAAGGCTCTCTGCTAGAAAATCTGGGATTCTGGGTCCTGGCTCTACGGTCATCTCAGCCTTCTCAGGGCCCAGAGTAGAATTTCCAGCCACCAGTACTAATGCCATTGGCTTTGGGTCAGCTGCTGCCCTCGGTGCACTGTGGTGGGGGTCCAGCCCAGCTGTCGGAGTGTCCAGGACGATGTTGCTCCAGGAGAAGTGGGTCTTGAAGAAGCTAAGGGTGTTGTCCAGATCCCACACAGGCTGGCCCCGGAGTTCATTGTGACAAGCGGAACAGAGTTCACGGGGTGGCCACTGCACCTTCGGGAAGTGGGGGTCCTCGCTGGGAGTCCCTGGGGAGGGAACACACAAAGGTCAACTATGACACAGCAGACCCACCCAAAAGCCCAGGCCTACTCTTCTGTTCAGAACACTAGCTTCCGCATCTGCAGAAAGGCCTTCCCACAACCCTTCACAAGGACAGGTATGAGCCAGGCAGCTAAAGAAAACCAGTGCATCACCTGGCCCAAGGGATTCAGCAATGGCGCCTCCCAGGTAGTGGAGGATTTCTCTCTGCCCCTGCCCCTAGCACCCCACCTTTACCCATGGGTGGCCAGCTGGCTTCACCCACTGCAGGTTTGCAGCCCTGGGCCAGATATGGAAGGGCAGGAACTCTCAGCACCATCTGTCTTGCAAGCTTTGGTTGGCCTGCTAGTATTTCTTTCTTTTTCTAAAATTTTCTGAGCTTTATGTAATGAAATGTTACTTCTGTAATTAGAGGAGAAATGGTTTTATAAACAAGAGTTGGTGCCTGGTAATTCCACAGGTGTTCTCCTTTATCCCACTGTAGCCCTCTGGGGCAAGTAGGAGTTGGTGGGGTTTCCTCCTCAGATGGGCTCTGAGGGGTGCCTGTGGGGACCCCAGGGACATGGGTGGGGAAAGGGCATTCTGACCCTCACGCTGTTGGGACCCAATGCAGCCAGGTCCGGGCTCCGGGGCCTGCCCCCAGGCTTGCCCAGGGTCACTGGGGAATGCCATCAGCCCAGCTCTCTTGCAGGAGGCACAGTTCCTCAAGGGTTAATATGGGGGAATACGTTGCTGGCCAGGAAGAAGCCACAGGAAGTGAGGTAAAAATCAGTGGTTATTTTGTGGAGTAGGTAACAAGTAGATTTCAAGGGTCCAGTGAGAAGCAGCAGTGAAATGAGCACTCGGTTTGTACCTGCTCATTGTTGTTAGTAGTTTGATGTGAAAGCACCAACTTCCTTTCGGCCCTGAGGAGAGGCCAGGATCCTGGCTCTCCCTGAGCAGCTGGGTCCTGAGGGGAGCTGGGAGCCTGCGGAGGTCACGGGGCTAGGGGGTCAAACGGAGCATTTGGTGGCAGGGGCGGGGTGGGAGGAGACAGGCACGTGTCTTCTTTTTAATCCACCAGGAGGCCCCATGAGACCAGACCGAGTACAGCCACCAGCACCAGCACCTGCTCCATTCAGCTCCTTTAGCCTCACACCCCAGGCCCCAGCCCCACCTCCCATCTCTCTCCCCACAGACCAGCCGGTTGTCCACAGATGGCTCCCTCCCCACCGCCAGCTTCTGGTCACCCCCTGGAGTTTAAAGCTTTTGCCTCTTGGACTAGAAAACACTGCATATGAGGGACAGTGGAAAGACAAGGCCTTCCCCTGTAGGAATTAGTCTCTGGTCTTTTCTAGGACATTGTAACATGAGACCTTCCCCCTCCAGGAAGTGGAAAAGCACAGCTCTCTCCTTTTTATCACTTTGAGAAAGAGCAGGAAAGACAAAAGGCAGAGTAGGGGAAACAGGGGAGGGATGTCAACAGGCCACAGGAAAGGCCCTGTGCAGCGGCAAGAGCGAGCAATGGAATTGAAGACCAGGTTCTTAGCATGTCAAAGCCTCATTTTCTTCATCTAGAAAATGGGTCTAACGCTACGGGGTTATCTGGGGGACGGCTAGGGGACAGTGAGCATCCCCTCTCCCACCTCTGACCCCAGACTCGGAAGCTCCCCCACCTCAGCCTCTCTCTGTAGGTGACGCCGGACTCTCCTTACCCGCAAGGCGATTATTGACCCTGTTGTGGCTGGACCAGAGCCAGAGAACAGCATTGTTTGGACTGTCCACTTTGTGCATGGAGGCAGCAGCCATCTGCTCGAAGTGGCTGGCGCAGTCTTGGCAGCCGAAGAAGAAGCGAACGTAGCCCCGGATGGCCTGGAGGACCTCCTGGGCCTTGGCTGCAGGGGAGAGGGGACAGTGGCCAGAGTCAGGGGCTGCCTGCCCTTGCAGGTCCTGCCACGTTCCCTGCACAGCCCACCACGCCACCCCTGCACCGCATCCCAGCCCAGGGTCTCCCCACTTGTCTCTCCACCTTCCATCTAGGTTGAACCTCGCCTTCCAAACTCCCAAGGCCCGTTTCCCTTCTCAGTCACTCACCCAGGCCCTCGTCACTTACTCTCGCTCAGGATAAAGTCTACAGTCCTCGGAAGAACGCATGGGCTCTTTGTGAGGCTGGAGAGCGGGGCAGGGGCGAGTGCCCATCAGCATATCCTGGGCTCCCACTGTGCCCACCTGCTTTGGGCTTCTTCCTGACTGGCTCCCAGGGGTCTCCCTTCCCTCAGACATTTCATAGGAGTGCATCCTGATGCACCCCCAACAGGTGCACCCCCTAATGTGTCCCACCCCCTCTACCTGTCCCCCATCCCCTATTGCTGGGACGTCTGCGCTCTTCCCTAGAGAAACACCATTGCCCCTGCCCTGAAACCCTTTTGTCTCCCACATTCCATATTCCTCCGGGCTGAAGGTGGTGGCAGCATTCTCCCTGCTGATGGTGGCTTCAGAAATGTCTCTCCTTGCTATGAAAGCTCCAGCCCTTCAGCAGTCAGCCCCTGCCTCACCCCGCATTCACTAGGACCCCAGCACCAGCTCTCTGGCCACTTACCACTGCTCCCCACACCATCATCCCTGGAAACTTTTGGCCCAAACCTGTTTCTTGCCTCATACCTCAGCTCCACCTTCTCATGCATCCATCCTGGTCATCCCTCCTGCCCAACCCCTCTCCCCCGCCCCCTCCCACCGCCTACCCTGCAGCAGTTCTTATCACTTCTTGTGCCCTTGTCCTCTGGACCTCACCCCTTCCCGCCTCCTCTAGGACTTCACTCCTATAAATATGTTCTTTCTTTACTGCATCATTTATTTCCCCTTTAATAGGGGGTCATCCCATATTAAAAATAGTCATAAGAAAGAAATCCCAGACCTCCCTGGTGGCGCAAGGGGTTGAGCGCAGCGCTGGGAAGCAATCCGCAGCCTCTGCAGCACGAGTTTGATCCCTGGCCAGGGAGCTGCCCACATGGCACAGCAGACCTCTCCTGTCTCACCCACTCTTCCCCTCAGCAGTGTGTTTCATCAGTCTGCCTGCTCTGCTCCCCACTCTGTCTCTGGTGAATCCTCTCACCTCCCATACCTCTGTCCTGTACCCCAGTTCTTGTATGCATAAATAAATAAATCTTAAGAAAGAAAGAAAGGAAGAAAGAAAGAAAGGAAGGAAGGAAGGAAGGAAGGAAGGAAGGAAGAAGGAAGGAAGGAAGGAAGGAAGGAAGGAAGGAAGGAAGGAAGGAAGGAAGGAAGGAAGGAAGGAAGGAAGGAAGGAAGGAAGGAAGGAAGAAATCCCTTCTCTGGGCCTTGGCTGCAGGGGAGAGGGGAGCATCACTCTGAGCCCAACACCCCAGTACCGCTCCATCATCTCCAATGCTTTGCTCTCCTCAGCTTAATCCAACCTGGCCTTTCTCTCTCCTCTACTCCCTGGAACAGTTCCTGCCAGACAGCTCCTCCTCTTGGAGTACCTCCAGCAGCACAACAACATCCACTCAGCTTGAAACATTTGACTTTGGAGGTCCCCAAAACTTGAAGCATCCTCCTTCTCAAAATGTTTGACTTTAAGAACCCTTTTGAAATTGTCATGGCTACTCCCTTCACCTCTTTCGCTGGCCCCCGACCCTTGAGCTGAGGTAGGGCTCCCGCAGTGCCCAGGCTCGGCCCTCAGCACTTTGCCTGTCCAACCAGCGAGCCCGTCTGGCCCCCTGACTCTAACTGTCATCTACATGCCAGTGGCCGCAGTGCTGACAGCTCCATTCTGGACCCCTCCCGGAAGCCCAGACTCACCTGTCTACATCTCCATGCAGATCTCAGCAGGCACAGAGCAGACCATAATTCTGCTCTTCCCCTAACCTCCTCCCCACACTCCTGTGCCCTTCCCGGGACCAGCAGCTGCTTGACAGACAACTCATCCTGAGTCCTGGTCCGGCGTACTCTCTACCCACCCACCACCAGGTCACATCAGCGTGACCTTCAAAATACCCCCAAGTCGCACCTCTGTTCCCACCTGCACACCCACAGCTCGAGTCTGGGCTCCTGCTGCCTCTCCGGGACTAGTTGCACAACTTCCAAACTGGCTGCCCTGTTTCCCTCTCGTCCCACTGTTGTCTACTTTCTATCCAGTAATCTTTCTAGAGCATGAATCATCTGTGTCACTTCCTTGCTTAAACTCGCCAGGAGTTTCTCACAAGGCTGAAACCGAAGCCCGAACCCTTCCCTCGCCGGGACCTCAGTGCAGTGCACGTACTCCCCTCCACCCTGCCTCCCTCTCCAGCCGCACCGCCTCACCCCCAAGCTCTCCCACTCATCTCCTTTCGGTGTTGCTAACATGCCAGACTAGTTCTCTGCTTTTGCTAGTTCTTGAGCTGCATTACAGGTTGAAGTGGGCCCCTCAACATTCATAAGTTGAAGCCCCAATTCCAAGCATCTCAGATGGGGACTATTTGGACATAGGGCCTTGAAAGAAGTGATTAAGTTAAAATGACTTCACGAGAGCGGGTCCTAAGCCTGTATGACTGGTGTCCTTCTAAGAACTTAGTCACCGACACACAGTGTGAAGACCACATGAAGACACAGGGAGCAGAAGGTCACAAACCAAGGAGAGGACTCAGCCGAAACCAATCTTGCCTTGGACTTTCCAAATTGCAAGAAAATTAATTTCTGCTGTTTAGGCCACCATGATGGGCTACTTTGTTATGGTAGCCCCAGCAAACTCATACATCCTAGAAGGCTCTCTTCCCAGGTATCCATGCTGCTTCCCTCTCACCTGCCACATTCAACACTGGGTCGCCCCATAGAGAAGCCTAACCCAGTCACACTGTCCCCACACAGCACCCCTCCCAACCTGTCCCCCACACCACCTTGTCCTGTCTTCACAGCACCCGTCACGGCAGCTGACGTGAGCTATCTGTGTGGTCAGTCTGCCTCTGGAATACTGTCCCCTGGAGGCAGCGACTTTGCCCATTTAGCATTGGACCCATCCCTCTAGCTGAGCTGGCATCTTGGGGACTCTCCAAAAACACTGGCTGACGGAATGACAGGCCATCCAGTACCTCCAGCAGCTCCTCTTCTGTGGTCTCCCTCAGTGGGATGCTCCCTCCTAGCTCAGCTTCTATTCACCCATCCACTCTCAACTTACCGCTGCCTGCTCTTCCTGACAGCTGCAGCTCCTCTCCCCCAGGGCTCCAGCCCTGCGCGCACCTGTCCACCTACCTGTCCTCAGTCAGTCCACTGAGAACATGGCCTGTGTCCTTCTGGCCAAGCCAGGGCCTGGTACAACCTAGTTCCTCAGTGAACGTGGACTGAACCGGAGGTCCTGCTAATCGTTACCATGGGGGAAAGATCATGTGGGGTGCAGAAGCATTTGCCTGGTTTTGGGGGAGAGAACAGGGTAGGAGGGACAACACATTTTCCCAAGAAAATGATTTTTCAGCGGGAAACAGTAAAATCGCTGAAAGTGCATGACACCAGCTTGTGAACTTTGAAATAGACACAGTTCTTTTCTTCACAGGAATATAAAGAGTAAAAGCACAGATTTTTCATGAAGGCTGAAAACAAGCAAGCTTGGGGTTCTAAGGAAGCTGGCAAGAAGCCTCAGGACACTGATGTCTCCTTGCCAGGCACCCCCCAGGGCAGGGGCTAGGGCTGGTGACTCCTCCAGGCCCTCCCCCTTCTGGTTCTGTGGGTCATGAGTGCCAATGGCAAATCCTGGCCTTCAGCTGGGAGCCCGCAGAGGGCAGGTTGGGCTGGGCCAAACCACAGGATGCATAACCCCAGACTCACCTGTTTCCTGTGAGTGGTCCACATCTTGCCGAGCGGCCTGCACAGTCAGGAAGTGGAAGAGGACCCACAGGGAGCAGGGAAAGCCCCGGAAGTGTGGCTCACTCCCCTGGCAGCCAACCCAGTTCACCTTCTTGGCAAGCACAGCACTCTAAGAGACACACAGCAGCATGAGTGGAGGAGAAAGGGCTGGGATGGGAGGCAGGAGAGAAGCTTCCAGAAGACTCAAAGCTCAGCACACTCAAATAAGGTCCCTCTCTCAGCCCTTCACCTGGTGGGTGGCATTTCCCTCCCATTGGCCACACCATCAAAGGGGCAGCAGCTCTGATACCGTGGGATACAGACGAAGTCACACCCTTGTCTAGTCTCTATGTCCCCTCTGTAGAATGGGGATGATCTCTGAGTTCCCTTCCAGTTTTGACGCTCTGTAAGGTTTGGGGTGTCTGCAGGGCACATAGGGGTCTCCCTTTGCAAATAAGAGGAGGAGCCCAGAAAGGTGCCCCTGGTGAGGGCCAGAGAAGCCAGCTGAGGTGTGCTCGGAGGCAACGGAGAGACTCTTGCCGCTGGCATCTCCCACTCAGCTAAAGCCCCAGCCTGCCCACCTCCCGCTGTGTGACCTTACACAAGTTGGCCTCAGTATCTTCACCCGTGAAATGGGGACATCTCCCTTCCACTAGCGCCGGGAGGATAAATGAGGTTATATGGAGGGAGACCAATAACTAGTCCCGACTAACGGAAAGCCCCACGGAGACCCAGACATCGTCCTTCCTGCAAGTTGCTAAGGCCAGCAGTGCAGGGTTAATGCCTCCCCTTCCCACAGACACGGAGGACAGCAGGAGATCTGCAGACGCTCCCCAGACTCACCTCCTTCCTGTTGTCCAGGGCAGTTTTAAAGAACTCGTAGGGAATTTTCTTTCTCTGCTGCCTCTTAAGCCAGTTATGTGTGGAGTGCAGGAAGTTCTTGACCAAGGGCTGGCCAGGGAAGTACTGTGGGAGGGACAAGCGGAAGGCAGAGCATAAAACACGATTCTCCCAGACACCCATGCCTGGAGAGGGTGGGGGCTAGGTGGAAGCCGGTGGAGGCAAAACCCCCAAATCACCAGGGAAACATTCTGCCTAAGACACAAGTATGGGTTCCTCCCCACCCTCGCTCTGGGGCACCTGGGAAGGCTGGGGCTGGGGGCAACTCTAAATAGGCCTGGGTGGGGAGGGCTGCCCCTCTGGAGGCCGCTGGGAAGCAGGGTGAGCCCCTGAGGTGCCTCCCAGGGCCGCTGGGCAGGCTGGCCACCCGTCTGCATTTCAGGCGAGTTTCTGTAGAACCACTGACTTGCTGACTAACTCACCAGTGGGGCTAGACTGGCAAAGGGCCTTTCCATTTGTATTCTACAGGCTGCCAGTGGGGCCAGGGCAGCCTGGCGGCTTATAGCCAAGATCCCAATCTTGATGGTAACTCCCAGTCCTCTCTGAGGAACATGAAAAGCTGCTCTGACAATAAGTCAACTCAAATCTGATTAGTATCAGCACTTTAAAACCACAAGGACCCCAGGGAGAAGGACAGATGTGTGTGTGTGCACGTGTGCATGTGTGTGTGCCTGCAGACACACAAGGAGGTGGGGGTAGGGGTAAGGATGAGGGAGGAACGCAGCAACAGCAGTGGGGCAGAGAACAGCACCAAGAGAAACAGAGATGCTTGAAGAGGGAAAAGAGCTGGAGACAGGATGATCACTAAACAGAAAAACCTGGCAGCTGCTTCAGTTCTGAAAAATCCCTGCATCTTATCAAAGCTCCTGGGCAGGACAGCGCCCCCCAGTGGCCACAGAGCCTGTGCCTTTCACGTTCCCTCTTAGCTCACATAGCCTCTGCCTCGCAACAAAGATTTACAGCTTCAAGTCAGCATTTCGCAGTGACCTTACCTTCGCCCACCATCCTGACTTGGACCCTACCCCTGCTAAGGCTGTGGTGTCATGAGGAAGGATGAATTAGGGGGCTCCAGACAGCAGGGAGTCACCTCCACAGGGAGTGGGGAAACCCTGGTGTCCACGCGCCACCCAGTGGCCAGTGCTGCCGTGAGGAAGCCAGAGAGCAGGGAGCTCTGGGATTCAGGAGGGCAGACAGAAGGGTCTCCAAAGGACCTGTGGAGTGCCCCCTGCCCCAAGCCTGCACCCTGCCAGGGCCTACAGCTCCCTGGGGCTGAGCAACAGAGTGAGCATTATCACCCATCCTTTGGACTTTTAGTGACCCCACACACACAGTGGGAAGAGCATGGGTTAGATGAGACACAGTGCAGATCCCAGCTCAGCCATTCACCCGCTGGAGGACCTTGGACAAGGGGCTTCATCTCTCTGAACCTGTGTTTCCTCTCTATGGGCAATATGAGTGCCCACTCCGTGGAGTTGAGGAGAAACACAAGCTAATACAAAGAGCACCCTGCAGTCACAGGAGATGTCCGCTGCTGCTATCGATACTGCTCAGTAATGTTTCCCAAGAGGCGAGCCACAACCCTACAGCCTCTGGCGGAGGTGCTCTCCGGCCACTGCTCTCCTGCTGTTGCAGGGGCCTGTCTTCCCTCTGGCTCTGCCCCAGCACCAGCCCTGAGCCCTCAGAGGCCCAGCTTCTGGCAAACCCTTTGCCTCACCCCAACCCTTTGCCAGCACTTGCTGAGGGCGGAAGTGTGGCAGGCACCAAGGAGGGGGTACTGCTGTGGCCTCTGCCCAGGTTTCTGGTTCTTTCCCTCACAGCAGGGCCAAACAAAGACAGCTTTGAGTACAGCTGAGAGGTTTGAGAAACCCACAAGAAACAACTTCCCTGGAATGATTCCTTCTAAGTGGCCTGGGGGTTGGGGGCTGCTGGGGAAGCACTCTGGGGCTCCCTCTCACAGGTCAGACAGGAGGATGGCACACACAACAGTCACGAACCTTTCCCCTCTGACTCTCTGGCCCAGCATCTTCAGGTTTCAGTGACCTAGGGACCAAGCAGGGTCTCTGAGAAAAGGCCTCTATTATCAGAATGGGCAGAAGAACAGGGCCCTCTGTGGGACCTCAGGGCTGTTTTGCCTTCAACTGTAACTGTACTGTGACCAGCACTGGTCACCTCACAGGGTCTCTCAGTATAATCACACACGAGTGTGACTACACCAGGTGGGCTGGAGAGGAGGGGAAGAGGGACTAGGTTGGCAGGCAGCTCCCAGGAAGACAAAGATCTGCCCCAGAAGGAGCCCCAGCTGCCAACAGACCTGTGCCCAGAAGGACGGGCTGAAAGACCTGGCACCAGGGATTGAAGTGGCTGAGTCAGCAGTCAGGGTCTGAGAGGGAGCACAGCCCACACCTGACTCAGCAGCCCTCGGTCGCCTTGGGTTTTAAGTAGGCCAGCGGTAGCAATGGATCTGGAACTGGAAGGATGGATGCAGGGAGGGAGAGGAAGGCAGGTGGAGAGGGGAGAGGCAGCCATAGCTAACCTCAGAGACAAGGAAGGAGCAAGGCAGAAGAGAGACATAGGCACTGGAGCAAAAGACCCAGGTTCAAGTCCTGAGGCCTGAGGTCAGCCACTTGAGCTCCCTGAGCCTCTGAAATTGGGGGTATGGGGGTGAGAAATACTTGCCACTCCGCAGAGGAAATAGGAAGATTAAATGCCTCCTAATGATATGCTCCTGCCTTCAACAAGCAGGAGGTACACCTCACTGGGTGGTCACCTTACCAGGAAATCATGACTAGAAAAGCATGCTTGAGTCAGGGATCTGGGCCCAACTTTGGGTCTATGGGCAGTGTCTGGGCATGAAGAGAGATGTGGACAAGTCTCCTGGGCTGTGGTGTCCATGGGTCCTGCTTTCCCCATGACCATGGCAGGGAGTAAGAGGCCATACTTGGGCTCAGGATGAGGTGGAGAACTCAGGGAGTCAAGGCTTCAGTCACAGAATCAGCTAGGAACAGCCCTATGACTTGGGGCATCTCTCTACCCAGCCCCTGCAGAGTGGGGAGAGTGAGGAGCGGTCCCTGATAGTGGGGTATATCTGCAGGGCAGCAGTACTTGGTGGACAGAGAATGCTGTGGCCGGAGGTCCATGAGCTGGAGGGGCCACGCTGCCTCCTCCATGCTGGCACAGGGCCTGCATAGGGATGCACACACTGGTCCTATGTGGGGCCCCACGGACAAGGGATCCAGGGCCCTGCTCACCTGGGCCAGCACTGCCATAAACTTTTTCAGGGCCACTAGGCGCGGACCCTCCAGGACAGAGAACTTGCCCACTTCGACCCGAAGGATGTAGTGTAGTGCAGATTCCAGGTCAGCCATGTAGATCTTGGAGCTGAGAATCCAGAGGGAGGCAGAGAGAAACAGGGGTGTTAGCCATAGGACAGGGCTGGGGAGGATCACCCTGGACTAAAGGAGAGAAGAAGAGGGCACTGCTGATGGTCAGGGTCCTAGAAGTCAGCACTTGGCTCTGCCAGTAGCTAGCTGTGTGACAGTGGGTAAATTACTTAACTTCTCTGAACCTCATCTGTAAAATGAGGATAAACAAATTACTCACAAGTAGGCTGCTGAGAAGATGAAACAGAAGCACAAATATAAGTCTCTCAGTAACTCCCGGCACAGAGTAGGGGTTCCCCCTACAGGCTCAGGGCCCTCCTCACAGGACTCACTAAAGGTGATTTAATCAGGTTACTGGAAGAGGGCGGGGCTTCATCTGTTCTGAGCAAAGACCCCTAGGGACAAACAGACTCTTAGGAGCTCCCACTCAACATGGCTCTGAAAAAGCTACTTTCAAAGACCTAGGGTTTGGCTATCCTCCAAGGGGGTAGGACAGGAAGTGATGCTTATATTTATTTATCTATTTATATCCTGGAAGTTGCCAGACCTGAGTGGCAGGTCAGGCCCCATCCCACAGCCTGGCGGAAGGCTATGGCTCCAGGCTCAGTAGGGTTTGGGCTCAGGGGTGCTGGCTTCTCCACCCTCTGTCTCCATAGGCCTGAGGCCAGACTTCGCTTCTGCAGCGAATTGGCGCTGGAAGCTTGGAGAACTCAATCTACATCTCTGGACCTCAGTCACCTCACCTAATTAAGTAAATGAACTAATGGCTCTGTTCCCCACCCCACCTCCTAAAGTAGGGAGCCAAGAGGTCAGCTAATGGTGAGCACTGTGACCACCTGTGTTTTATCCTCGTGGTTAGGTCCCCTCGCTGTGCTCCACTTTGGTCCTTGGGCCTAGTTTACCTCTCCATTCTGTGTTTTGCTTGAGGAGCAGCCTCATGACTGAAGGAGATAATGCATGAAGGGGCCTGGCACAGAGCTTGGCACATACAGCCAGTAAGTGTCAGCTACCACAAATAGTTGAATGATGAGAATAATCATAATTTGAATAATGACAATGACCACTCCCATCTCTTGGTCTCTCCTTCTTCCCTGATTTACTAAAAATCTCCCTATTAGCACCATCCATCCTTAAAGTCCCTCAGGCTAGGATGCAAAATCCTTCTGGAAATTGGAAGACCCTTTCTTCTCCAATTCTCTTGTGCTGCCCCCCCAGTGGAGGCCGCTTCCTGATGCGCACCCAGCTCCCTGGTCAGCCATTTCCACCTGGTATGCAGCTGAGCATCAGAACAAGAGGTCTACTGCCCGTCTCTCTACACAGAAAGCAGGAATTCTATCACAGAGCAGAGCCAAGGAGGCTTATGCTAACAACTGTGCACAAAGATACAGCCTATCTCAGACAGTAGTGAGCTCCCCAACACCAGGGGCATTCAAATGAGCCTGGTGCCTTCTTAGGAGGGATGCTGTGAAGGGACTGTAAACTGTGTGGGCAGGGACTGCATATCCATATGCATCCCTATTCATAGAGCCTAGCATGGAGCAGATACTAAAAAAGATTTGCTGAGGAAATGATTGCTTGGGTAGGAAGTTGGTTTTGAGCCACCAATATCCATTAAAGCTGATTCTGCTTGTTCTTGCACAGATTTCAGTCTAAGGACTGTAAACATTAGAAAGTCTTCATTCCATTATGAAATGAGTATGGTCTATGCTCCCTAGGGTGCCACGACACAGCTAAGACTTTTCACAGAGGCCAGGTCAGCCCTCAGAGGGTCTGGAGCTGGGATGGCATGAGCTAAGCTCATGACAAGGAACAGAGTGTGGAATGAAGGAGGCCTGCGGTCAGGACAAAGGCTGGGCAGGGAAGGGATGATGAGGACAGGGCCTGGCCTTACCGATCTGCAACTTTCCAAACAGTGGGAGCAACTTCTTTAGGGGTGACTGGCACAACCGTGGTCGGGGGAGTCATCCTGGTGCCGGTGGAAAGCCTCTGCAGGTATGCCGTGTAGAAGGGCCTGGATTCCACCAGCCTGTGAGGAGAGAGAAAGCCACAGGGGAGGTGGTGAGTGACGGACCACAAAACCCCAGAGATGCTTTGTGGCAAGAGGAGAGGCAGGTGGCTCCTCTGACAGAAGGTTTATTGAGAACTACCTGAACTCAGTTCGGTCCGGTCCTCATTAAGGTCAAAATCGAGGCACCTGTGCCTCGTGTTAGCGTTTTCATTCACTCTCAAGTTGCAGAAAAACTTTCTGACACCAGTCTGCTGTCCAAGTGCCATCTGGTAAATGAGCCAGACCCCAAATTCCTCATCCTGCTCTGAGCATCCAGAAGACCATGCAGCCCTGGGGTTCAGTGCTGACTCTGCCCTGGGACAGGATGGCTTGGCTACCTTGCCCAGAGGCCACACTGTGAAGTGGTGGCTGAGCTCACAGCTTGCTCCATGAGTTAACATTACTCCCCAAGGAACCCAAGGGACTTTGATAGGTAATACACAGACACACACACACATATAGAAATTCATATACATATAGATGAATTTATAATTTATATATATAGCAACAACATGAAACCACCTCAATTCTCAAGTCTTTGAGTAATCCTTTAGCGTTCTCTCTCTCCTGATAGAAAGGAGTCCTCAAGGGTAGGAGACATCCCCTGGGCAGGGACACCTGGAAGGAAGGCTGTGAAGAACAGCAGCCGTGTGACGGGCCCCAGGGGAACTGGCATCGGAAAGCATCTCTTTCCACTCCGCTGTCCTGGCCCAGTGTTTATCCATGAGCAGATGGCTAGGAAGCAGCATCGTCACAAATAATTTTCCCCTCCACCAACTCTGAGCGAGGAAACAATGCCTCCTCTTCTGGCACTTTCTGCCCCTCTGGTCCCCTTGAGGCCACTATGCTCCCTCCCTGGGGAGAAGTCTATGACAAGGCTGGCCCAGTGCTGGCTATGGATCAGACCGGGTGAAGGCTAGTGGCCACCCTGCCTGGCCTTGGTCACAGTGGCACTAATGGCCCTGGGGAGTCATCCATTGGGCACTAAGGCAAGCCTGGGTCTCCCCGGCCCTCAAGCTCCTGCCTGCAGGGCCGGGCTGGCATCAATCATCTGCCCAGGGAGGGCACCAAGGCACCATCTGGCGCCATTTAACAGGCCATTCAGCAGCGGGAGTGTGACAGAGGGGCTGAGGCCGGCCTGATTGTTTTCTCTTAGCATTTTGGAACTGGCTATTGTCTGGCTCCTAATGAACTTTTCTGCAATTAGAAAACCAAAGGGAGGGAGGGTCAGGCATATTTGAGTGCCTGCCAGCCCTGCAGCCTGCCAACAAGTCTGCGCTCAGAGTGGTGCAGGGAATAGGGCCAGGGTTGTGGGGAACAGGGCTGTGAGGGCCTGAGACAGGACTGGAGCTGGGGACTGGAGCTGGGGCCTGGGTCAGAGCCTGGGGCCAGTGTCCTGGCTGCAGAGCCTGCTCCCACTGGACAGACAGACATCTGCTTCTCCTGCCCAGGGTGTGCCTTGCTGAACCTTGGCCTCCTCAGACAAAGAATTATGGGAGAAAGACTATGCCAGCCACTGTGAAAGGCAGGCAGCCTCTCTAGGCAGGAAAGAAGGCTGAACCCAGGGAGGATAGAGAGACACTCACACGGGGACCCGTGAAGCAGTGCCATTCCGTAACAGCAGGTAGCAGGATGGAAAGTCTGTGACACCAAACTTGCTGACCGCATCGGCCTCTGTGTTCAGGACCCTGCGCACAGGGATACCTTGGTACTGGGACAGATCCAGGATCACCTGCAGAGACAGGCAGACACGTTGTGTGTGTGTGTGTGTGGGGGGGCTGAGCCACTGGCAGGGGAGCCCTGGGCAGGCACGTGGGTGGCAGCTGTGCACCATCAAGTCTCATCCCACCAACTGCGTCTACCCCACAGGTAACAAGTGCCAAGCAAGACCTAAGTGGATGGAGCTGTGCAGACCTGATATCTCCAATCTTGTAGGATAGTCTAAATTGATAGAATTTTCTCTCCAATGAAAGCAATTTGTAAAAGGCATAATAAAATGGGCTTTCATTTTTAGTCTTACATTTATAAGGCTTTCTGTCTATATTCCAAATCAGAAAATAATGTTAGTTAATGCTTACTGAGTGTTATGTGATATATATATATATATATAGATTGCTTCGTTTAATCTTCAAAACACCACCATATGTTTTACTGCAATTCTGTGGGCTGTGACAGTGTAAGAACAATAAGGGCTCCAGAGCAGAGACCTGGTTCAAAGCCCTGTTCCACCAGTTCACCAGCTGTGATGATACTGGAGGAATTATTTGATCATTGTCGTTGACTGTAGAAGTCAATAACTATGTGTGCCAGCCACCTAGTCAGTCTTTAAATAACCAGCTGGTGTTAACATATTTGGTTTTGATGAGAGAGAGAAAAACAGGAAGGATTTAGATGGAAAGGTTTGGCTCCTACATGTCACATTTCTCCCAGTAGGGGGCAGGCCAGTGCTGGGCTAAGTGCACCAGTCTCAGGCCTGAGAATTAACAGGAAAAGGCTTGATGCCAATGAATTCATCAGTTCCTGGGCTCGCTCTCTTTGGCTATCAGCAATCTGCAGGACCCCTGAGGACAAACTCACCTCTCTGCCCACGTAGGAGCCTTCCTTCTCAAAGATCAGGGCCAGATGCTCTTCATTGTTTCTTGCAAAAAATCCATTAATCTCTTCCAACCTGCAAGAGACAACTCTGGCAGTATCTCTCCACAGCCAGTGGGAGTGAAGCAAAACTGCCCCTGACCTCAGACAGCGCTGACCCAGCACTGTGAGAACAGCCACATGAACCTGTTTCTTGGAGCCTCCCACTGCCTCTCCCAGTGGGTGTAAACCAAAGCCTTAGGAAGTCCCAAAGGACATTGCCTTTTTTACCGAACCCTGGTTCTTCATTTGATCCATGTTGTTGATTTGCTTCTTCATCCTCTCTCAAGAGTCAGCCGTGAGTAGAGGTGGCCTGGGGAGGGGGCCTGGAGGTCTGGGAGGGATGCAGTGAGACCCCTTGTCTCTACATTCTGGGTAAGGCCCAGGCTTCGTGAATGTGGTAATTATTGCTCCCTACGAGACTCATGTTTGGATTCATCAGATACAAGCCTTCAGCTTGAGCCAGTCACTACTAACTGGGAGACTGGCTTTTTCCTCTTCTGGAGTGAGTATAGAAAAGGAATTAAGGAATTAGAGGTCTTGGTTGCAGGAGAGCTAGTAAAATGGGGAAACAGAGATCCAGAACAAAGATGAAACTAGTAGGAAAGCAAATTTTACTGTTAAGTTGCAAATTGTTTTAAAAATTCAAAATTTCAACAAAAAAAGGTGGGTTTCCTTATTCCATTAAAAGCAGAATGTCGGCATACATGCTTAAGAAGCCATGGGCCTCCCTGGTGGCGCAGGCAGTTGAGCTCCGCACTGTGAAGCTGTCCGCAGCCTCTGCAGCGTGGGTTTGATCCCAGCCAGCCGGCGAGGGTCCCACATGGCGCAGCAGACCTCTCCTGTCTCGCCCGCTGCTCCCCTCAGCAGTGTGTTTCTTCAGTCTGCCTGTTCTGTTCCCCACTCTGTCTCCGGTGAATCCTCTCAACCTCCCATGCATCTGGCCTGTACCCCGGTTCTTGCATAAAAATAAATAAATCTTTAAAAAAAATAATAAATAAAAAAAAAATAAAGAGGCCAGAAGGTGAGTGGGCACTGGGGGAAAGGAGCCTCATCTTTTCACGCCCAACTTGGTGACCTATTTCCCTGTGCTGGATCCAGTGATGTGACAATGACTACCTCCAAACAGAAGGCACCACATGAGGTCAATATGGGAGCCCAGTCCAATGATAGAAAGAATGAATATTCTAGAGAAGTGGGTGGGGCCAGGAGGTACCCTAGAGGGCAGATGAAAAGAGCATCATGGATACTGAAAGCCTCTGGGGTGGCCTAAGGGGGTCTCTCAGACCTTCACCAATCCTCCCAATTTGTCAAAAGAGCAAGTTCTACATGGCTCTCACACCTCCAAATTCATTCACACCCTCAGACTTTGGGAAGAGGCATCCTACCTCCCACCACACATCCCTGCCTCCTTCTTAAAGCACCTCAGAAAGATCATGTTGAGAGGTTGGCAGGTGTATCTGATTTGTTGTTTTTGTGACTCCTCAGGGTTGAAAACACACCAGGAGGGATGAGGATGTGTGTGAGAAAGAGACAAGGTCATAGAGACATGAAAGAAGTGGGGAGAAGCGTACATGTGGGCATGGATGTTTCTGGATATGTGGGGCTTGGTTATGGAACCCCAAACCTCACCAACACTACACCTGGGTCCAAGGTTTCTCTCCATGAGGCCCTCCAGGAGGGTGGAGAATTAGGGAAGATGACAAAGGCATCACTGCAGAGTTGGATTCAACCCCAAGTGAACTTGGAAACACATCTCTCAGCAGAGTTACGCCTTTTAAGAAGAACAGGACATAATCTTAGAGGCCTTGTCAGCATGTGCAACTTTCACTAGGGTCTAAGGCTCTTGTCGTTCCTGCTGGTACTTGAATTTGTTCCTTCTAGGCACAAGTGGCTGGAAGTAGGCGTTATTCTCTCTTGAGATCTCACCCAGAAGAGCGGGCCCAGTGTTTTCAATCCACTTGTTTGTTTCTGTGAGAGTCAGGGCAAGTGACAGTGTACCCCACTGTCCCCATTTTCCTAAAGAAGGGCAATCCTGGGGGCCTGCTGGGCAGGCAGAGATCCCCAGCTGCTGAGCCTGACCTTCTCCAGCAGAGGGAACCCAGGGCCTCCTCCTCCCCCAGCCCCAGCCCTCAGTCATGGCCCCTGCTCAGAAAAATGACCACCTTCAATTCACAGACAGGGCTTTCCTCTTCCCAGTCCCCTGCACCCTACTCCTTTCTTCTAAATGGTATTTGAGACCCATTTTTCCTTCCCATGCCCACTCTCTCAGTGACCCTCCACGGGTGAGATGTTCTGACATCCCACCACATTCCCAATCTCCCGCTACTCCCAAATCTCCCGAGGACAGGTTGTAAGAGGCAACGGCAGGCATACCCTGGTGAATTCCTACCCTCTTCTCCCTTCCCACCTGGTGGATGGGCCCGTGCATCCACCAGGCAGCCAGGGAAGATGGGCCCTGAAGGTAGGACCTTACAACAGAAAGGCCTCCACCAGCTCTTCCAGAGAAGCTCTGTGCTCTGGCCCACTGGGGCATCTGCCCCCAAACAAAGGTACTGAATCAGCCCAGATCCCCTGCCCTGCTGTCCCTACCACCCCCTACCACCAAGCCTGTGATCCTGGCCCAAGGGCACCCAGCCTGCCCCAGCCCCAATTACCTGGCAGGCTCCAGTGGGGGACAGGCGGGGGGCCACGTGTCAGTGTGGGACTCCAGGGCATCAATGAGTCTCTCCCGCAGGGACTGAACATCTGCACCAGGCACTGTCAATAAAGATGGAGTGAAGATGAGCCCAGTGCTCTTGTCAGTTTCACTCATGCAGAACCCAGCGCCTGGGCCTTCCCTGCACTAGAGGAGCTGGGGTGGGGCCACTCTGCAGCCCAAAGCTACTCAGGGGGCCCCAGCCCTCAAAGGACAGGAAGGAGCCTCTCAACCTGGACCCCAGAGGGCACTCTGCTGGTCTGCCCAGCTGGATGCTGACCCCACTGTGACACTCAGGACTAGAAATACAGCGACCCTTCTGCTTCCCAGGACCCCTGATGGGCTGAAGTGGGCTCAAAGCTTCTTTAGCCTTGTCTTCTGAAAGCATCTTGACTCTGCCTGGGAAGGACACAAATTAGGCTTTCTCTTGGGAAACATCTTGCCCTGAGACCTCTTTGGGCAATATTGGAAAAAGAGGGAGCAGAAGATGTAGACAAGGCTCACAGGACACCCACCTGGCAATGTTGCTCCTGAGCCATTCTTGGAAAAGGCCTTAAAGAACTGGAAGCAAACACACAAGCAAGAGTTAGTCACAGGTGGACGCTGAGGGCACGGCACAGTGTCAGCAGGTGAAGCCAGCTGTTTACTAAATGGGGTAACTTTGAGCAAATGACTTCATTTTTGTGAGCCTCTGTTTCTTCACATGTGAAATGAGTTCAGGGAGGTTTCTGCTCTTGGAGAGGGGTGCTGCTATCCAATCCCTGACCACCCCAAAGCCCTGAGCTCGCAAGAGCTAAAACAGTTGCTTATACGCTTTACTGAGGTAGAGCGTTTCTAGAAAGAACAGGACTCTACACACATTACTGGAAGATATTTACTGTATCAATGAATGATGAAGACCACTCCTGTTTTTCCTTCCAGACCAATCTAAAAATGTTAGCTAGCCTCTGAGGTGAGCTGTCCTTATCTTTAACAGCTGGGGTCTCTGTCCACTGGGAACTGCCAGCCTGGCTCAACAAACACAAAGGGAGGAGTATCCAGTCCACAACAGACAGGCCAACTGACTCGTTATTTGAACTCTCATTTACAGGACACCCTGGCCCAGTCCACTACTTCCTGGGGAAAAGGACAGAGAGACCCAAGCTCAACTCCTCAGAATCTGACACTGCCTCAGGGCGAGAGCTGCCTGTGCTCCCTAGGGCTCAGAAAATGAGTTTAGGGGCCTCCCTGGTGGTGCAAGAGGTTAAGCATAGCACTGTGAAGCTATCCACAGCCTCTGCAGCATGAGTTCGGTCCTGGCCAGCCAAGGAACAACCTACATGGCACAGCCTCTCCTGTCTTGCCCGCTGCTCCCCTCAGCAGTGTATTTCAGTCAGTCTGCCTGTTCTGTTCCCCACTCTGTCTCTGGTGAGTCCTCTCACCCCCTGCACCTCTGGTCTATACCCCAGTTCTTGTATGCATAAATAATAATTTAAAAAATTTTTTTTTAAAAAAAAGAAAGAAAATGGGTTTAGCCAACCCAACCAGACAGACACTCAATTGTCCTGAAAAGAGCTTCCACCCTGGGAAGAGGCCTCCTCCTGAGGGCCCCAAACTGCAGGGTCACACAAGGCTACCTTGGGCCTCTGCCACCAATGGCCATTTGACTTATCCCAGGCTGATTTCATAGAAAGCCCTGGGGTCTGCCAGACCTGGCCTGCTTTGCCTGAACTTGCTGTATAACCTTAGGCAATCCATTAACTTCTCTCAACCTTCTCATCTTTAAAATGAGGAGGACACCATCTACCTCACATTGCCTGAGGACTCAGTGACAATACCGCAGAGAGCACAGCACTGTGCCTGGTGTAAAGGGTAAAGAATAAATACATGCTACTGCAGTGATCTTCATCCCCTTTCCTTGTTCCCTTGTTTCAAACACTACAAAACATTGACCAGCTTGGGTTCACTTGTTCCAGAAGAAAACTAAACACTGGAGGGCACCTGCCTCCCTCCCACATGAGAACACAGCTGCCCTTTTGCCTCCACCTGCAACCTTCTCCTGCTCCCTCTGACCTACCCTGGGCCCTGCTCCTGCTCACTGCTTTATTTGCTCTCTCTTTAAAGCATTAATATAAATTTTGATTCTAGGTAAAAGCCATGCCACACATATTTATAATACCGTTCTTTCAAGTTATTGAACAAATGTTGAGTTAATAAAATTATGTTATCCTAATACTTGTAAAAATGATCACAAGTTTCCTGGATAGTGACATGAGACTAAGACAAGGCACGTCCAGGCATTTAGGGACTGACATTATGTCTTAAACAAAATTACAAATACACCTATTTGAGGTTTGATTAGCTCACTAATAACCCACAGGACGAGAGAGTAGACTGTGCTGTTTCTGGTAGCATAAAAACACTTAGCTTCACTTGTTTCTTCAGTTGCTGAAAAGCAGCAAAGTAATTTTTCTTCATTAACCATCAGGTCACCCAAATCTGAACAGGTGCCTTTATTAAAAGGGACTGCCTTTACCATCATCAAAAGCTGTCTCCCTGGTCCCCACTGAGCATTCTGAAGGCCCTAGCCATGGGCAGCCTGGGGTGCACAGGAGGCTCGGAAGAAGGATCCAGGGGCTGGCAGGGGTCTAGAGCCCTCCACACCCACATCTATAGGGCTAAAGGGAAGGCATCCCATCTCCCGTCAGCTCAGTGCTGTCATACAGAGGCTTCCCAGGCACCTTCCAGAACGAAATCACCTCCTACACTCTAGTGAACTCACTCCCACACTCCTTAGGCATGTTTTCTTATCAATAAATCTCTCACCTTTCACCCTTCCCCTTCTCTGCCAGCCCCTTCCCTAAGCCTCCATATAGATTCAGATTCTCCTCATCAATATGTTAAAAAAAAAAAAAAATGGCCAGGAAGGAAGGCTGCAGCAGACTGAGAACAAGAAAGGCCTCCTTCCTCCTGGCCACTGTGTTTCCTGTTCCCTGACGGAGAAATCTCAAAACAGTACCTACGCTCACCCCTCCAGCTTCTTCTCCTCAACGTTCTGTGACCAGCTGGCTGAGCGCCTGCTCTCCCCCTTCAGCTGAAACTGCCCTGACCTCACAGCTCCCCCTCTCTTTGGCTCATCCAATGACTGTCTCAGACCCTCTTGCTGTCCCTCTGTGGAAGCTGACATTACCATGGCTGCTTCACCCCTCATGGCAAGACTTGTCCTATTTTTGTGCCACCTTTTTCTGATGCTCCCCCTCACTGCCTTTACATTGCCTTGGTGTGCTTGATGCTGACCAGGCCTTGACCTGTCCTAGCCTCACCCTATCTCCACTCCCGTGATGCGGCCCTCACCATCTCCTGCCCCCACCAACTACAGGTCATATCATTTAAAAAGCCCTGGGGGGCATTGTCACCAAGGAGGAGATGACTCCAAGCTTTTGAATGAATGCATGAATAAATGAACAAATAAATCTATTGTTTGTCTCCCTGGCCAATGTCGTGTACTTTGCTCTAAATGATTTGCCATCTGAGCCGTCTATCTCAGGCGCTCACTGCCCTAGACTCGTTTCCTCCTGGTGCCCTCCACAAGGTGGTGGGGCACTCCACACACACATTCTCCAAGATTGAGTCACCCCACCCCCAACCTGTTTCTCCACCTGTTTCTTGTCACACCCAATGATGGTCCTCCTCCCTGTTACCCACAATCTGTCCCGAATCTCCTTGCCCCCAAACCTCCATCATCCAAACAGCTGACAAATGCCATGACTCTGACCTTTGTGATACCTTTTCAACAGTGCTCCGGGCCTGCTTCCTTGTCTGGACTAAGGTCTATCAGCGACTCCCCGGACTACTGCAACAGTCCCAACCCTGTCTCCCTTTGTGTGCTCAGAAATTCTGATAGGGCCCATCTTAGCATTCTCCAGCCATCCTCCTCACTGCCGCTTGGCTGAGTTTTCTAAAGCACAGTTTTGGTCTAACCATGCCACTCCTCCTCAAATCTCATCCGCGACTCCCCATTACCAGTGAATAATGTCCAAACTCACCGCATTTGAGATCTTCCGAGATCTGCCCCCAAACTTAACCCCCATAGCCCCCCATTCCCTATACTTCAGCTAAGATGGACATCAGCCTGAACTTTCCACCCACCTCCCTTACCAGAGGGCAGGACCAGATTATTTATCTCTGCAGCCCCACGTGCTGGTGCAGTATCTAGGACATGGAAGTCCTCAAGAGAGGACACTGGTGGTGGACCAGAGACTCTCTGTCCTTTGATCATCTCAGGCTCATGTGAAAACCACATTAAAATCTGGTCAGGGCACATTTTTGTCCCCTTATTATCATGCATCCTTATTAAGCCAGCTGTTGGAGGCGTGTGCCCTACCCAAAGGAAGCTCCACAGCTCTCTGGAAACAGGCCATGAAGACCTCAGCAGGGCCTCCCTGGTGGCACAGTGGGTTGAGTGCAGCGCTGTGAAGCTGTCCGCAACCTCTACAGCACGGGTTCAATTCCCGGCCAGCCAGGGAGAAGCCCACATGGCAGGGCAGACCTCTCCTGCCTCGCCCACTGCTCCCCTCAGCAGTGTCATTGGTCCTTCTGCCTGTTCTGCTCCCTGCTCTGTCTCTGGTGAATCCTCTCACCCTCCCACACCTCTGGCCTGTACCCCAGTTCTTGTATAAAAATAAGTAAATCTTAAAAAAAAAAAAGACCTCAGCAGTGGGGTTTCTTCTGCCCAGGAGCAGCCAGCACTCAAGGCTTTACCTTCCACAACCTTGGGAAGCCCTGACAACCCCCATGTCTCTCTGAAGGCAGGGAACCAGGTGGCATCGGGCAACTCTTTACTGACCTATCAAAGAACATCTGTCTTCCTGGGGCCAAGTGAATGGAGTTGATGGACAGCACACACTGCACCTGCTGACATTTGCACCAGGAACAGGGAGAGAGAAATCCTGTTTTCTCATCTATGGGGCGGGGTCAGTAACACAAACTTAGGGAAATTCTTTGAAGAGTTAGCAAAGATAATGTATTTGTCACTGCAAGATCTAATGCAAATCATATCCTTAATAATTCCTATTGTTATCATTTTGAAAAGAAAAGAAAGCATACTTTCCAGGGATGACCATGATTGATTCCAAGTATTTAAAACAAATCTTAAGGAAAATGATTCTGTCTCCAAATATCTAATGATGAGCCTGCTGAGAAGAGGCCCATCTTTTTTTTCCAGAGAGAGGCAGATGACATCTTTGAGGCTTGTCCCTCCCTGACATGTCTCCTTGTCAGAAGAGCTAAGGTAGTGGCTAAGGTAGTGGACAGGGTGTCCACACCTCAGTCCTGAATTCAAGGACCTGCCATTGCTGGGCTTCCCTTTCCTCAGTCAGGCATCAGCCCTGAAGATGAGTCTCGGCTTTTCCAGATCACTCTTGTTAACACACCACATGTTCCACCCGCAAGCTCTTTGCTCTCACTCTCCCCCTGCCCACAGTCCAATCTTCCCACCAACCTCCTCCTTCCTTTCACACCCAGCAGAAGTCCCCCTCCTATATGAAGTCCTCTCTGATGTATGAGGGAAAGGTTCATTGAGTCCTGGTAAACTCCCCCTCACACAGGGTGTACAGATCGCTCACTGTCCGTCAGCCGGTTGGTGAATTCTGTGTGTTCTCGCGCACAGGTCTTTCCTGTCTGGCCTCTCTCGCTTCTGGTCAGGCTGCTCCCACAACGGTGAGCAGGGTGCTGTGCAGTCAGCAAATGTTCACTCAACAGCTGCTACTAGAAGGGTTCCCTCAAAGGTAGTGACCACAGAGGAGCAACCACAAGCCCCAGGGGGTGGCTAGGAGGAGACAGCACAATGGAAAGGAAGACTAACATTTATTGAGCTCCTAGTGTGCCATGCAGCGCCTCAGCACTCTCACATTGGCAACAACCTGATTAGGTAGATATTATCAACTCCTTTTTACAGAAGGAAACTGAGGCTTGTGGTTGGGGCATTGTGAAGTGACTTTCCAAGACACATACTGTAAGCAGTGGAGCCATGTCAATTTTCTCCTCCCAATCTTGTAAAGGGAAGACTTCTGTGCTCTTCCCACCCCAAAACTGCTCTCTGTAACCTTTATTCCAGTCCCAAAGGGTTCTGTTCCATTAGCTGCTGAGGGGCAAAGGCCCTCCCCCTAGAACTTCCAGCCTCTGGGTCCCAGAGAACCAGCCAGAACTTGCTGGTAACTAGTCCTCCCTCCCCCACACCTTTGTTTGCTTCTAGTTGGGCAGCGCCAGTGTGACAAAGCTGGCCCGCCCTTCAGGGCCAGGTGTTTGCTGAACAGGCTGGGCTGGTGGAAGCTCGCTGCTCAAGGTGACAAGGGGCAAGAGGCAGAGGAAAGGGACAATGACACGTAACTGGGGATGGCTGGACTCTTGTGTAGACCTATCTTCAGCACACCAGCCACACTCTCTCTTCTGGCTGTTTAGTGCCCTTCCTCACAGTCTTCATGGGTAGAGAGAGCAAGGACAGGCTCTCTCTGTCCCTAGGGGGCAGCAGACAGGACAATGAGGTTCTCTAATGCACCTGCTGATACCAGGGCAACCTCTAGGGCCTGCTCTTTCTAGGGAGTCCGGTCACACTAGGGAGTCCACAGCACATCAGGCTCTCAATGGGCCAAATCTCTGGAGATCTAGAATCTATGATTCTAGTCTTTACCAAACACTAGAAGCAGTAAAATCCATTGAGTGAATCATAGCCCATAGTCAGTAATTAAAAAAACAAAAACAAACAAACAAAAAACCCAGAAAAGAGCACTTAATAAGAATAAATATTATTTTAAGAAACTTTTGTTTTAGTGATAACAGATATGAGCCAATGTCTGGATCTCACTGTAAGATATATATTCCTCACTGTTGGTGACAGGGCCTTGGCACAGACCTGTCAGTAGCTTGAACTACTTGAGTCCTGCACTCGGCACTGGGGGCCTCTTCTGCAGAAACTGAGCTACAGGTTCCTTGGGAGAGGTAGGAAGTTCCCAACATTGGTCTCCAGAACTCTTAAGAAATGGACAGATGACTATGGGCCTGGCGGGTGTGGAGGCAGGGAAGGTCAAGGAGACCAGTTCAGGGCCCTCCCAGCACCCCTCCCACGGTCTGCTGGGTGGTTAAGGAGATGATTAATCACTGGAGGTATTCAGGCTGCATGTGCTGCGTGACTTGGGTAAGCGCTGAAGAGCTCTGGCTCTCCCTATGGCCTGGGCCTCCTCCCTCGCCCCAGTGGGCCCCAGCCTCTTCCAGGGAGAAACAAAAAGCCCAGGGGTCATGCCTCAGAGAAGCCCAACAGAATGTCCTGACCTGGTCACAGTGCCAACCAGTCCCTTTTCAGGGGGTTAGGCCATGTCTGGACTACTCTGCCAAGACCTCACCAGAAATGCCGGCCTGAGACACACTACATCTGCCACACTGGTTTCCTGCAGTTTCCCACTCAGAGCTGCATGGCCCTGGATCAGCGAAAGGATCAGAGTGCCCCACTCTCCCCTGCAGAGTGGTTTTGAATAGTTTACCTATCTTGGGGCCAAAGATAGGCCAGGGAGGTCGTTGACTTTAAAGAGATGAATGGCAGGCAGTATCTCTGTGGCCATTTCTAAGTGAAGCCATTGGCTCACACCCTTTTCTCCAGGCCAGCCTAGTCTCAGCTAAACCTGGGGGACTTTGAGTGGCAACAGAGCTTAGGAGGGGAGGTCTATCAGTGCAAACCCTGGACCCGGCAGGATTTTTTCAGGCGTGAGGAACAGACAGGTCACAGGGAGTCAAGAAAAGCCAGACATTCTTGGAGGAGCCTGGACCTTGCTTTCCATGGGGATTCTCCTGGCATCTTTTGGTTGCTAAGATGTGGCTCATGGTTCTGCTTGGGACTTGAGGTCCCCAAGCTGAGAGATAGACATCTTATTCCAGGGACAATGCTTGACCTTTAACTTTCAAAGACATTTCCTGATTACTCTTGGCAACGACAGAAGAAACTTCTTTTCTAGTTGCCCCTCAGGTGGGAGGAAGTTAATGATTGATAGCTGGAGGTCTACCGCAGGAGAGATTTGGATTTGGCTTCTCTCATTTGGAAGAGAACCCACTGGATTATAGCTGAGCGTGAGCTCTGGGAAGGGTGCTAAGTCTAAGTGCACAGCCTTGCTCCTCAGCTTTGCAAGCCTCCTCCTTGAGTGCCTTGGATGTTGTCGGGATGTTAAGTGAGCTGTTGATGCCCTTGGTGGGCAGGTGGGCAGGGCTGCATCAGAGAGCTTGTGCTCCTTTCAGCCAAAGCTGGGGTGACACAGCCCTCATGTGCTGGGTGTGACAAGTCCTGTGATGGGAATCCCTGCTGCCTGAGGCATCGGCATTTTGACTGTTAGGGAGGCCACCCTGACAGCTCCCTTCTTAATCTCCTGGTCTCAAGACACTTGCCTGATGAGGCTTGCCAGTGTCTCTGAAGGCCTTATCTGGGGGACCACTCGCTCCTTGAGTCTGCACCTGCCCACAGATTTGCCAGTGCCTGAACCCTGGCTTTATAGGTTTGCATCAGACCACTAGGTGAGGAGATGAGAAGGGAGAGGAATTGGAAAGAGGCCCCTGGAGCTGGGAGCTCCAGTCCCAGCGACGAGTACCACACAGCTCAAATGGGAGCAGCTGACAGCCTCTCCTCCTGAGCCTCCACACAGTCCCTTGCCCTTAAAAGGGGGTAGATTTTGCCAGACCAAAGTAAATTTGGTCTTTTCTGCCTCTATAAAAGGTTTCTTACTGATTAGGCAAAGGGACAGAGCTTCAGGGGCTGTGATTTAAATGGATGAGAGCACCCTACAGACCCCAGCAGAGGCCAGGGAGGCCCAGAGCAGCGCCAATGTGCTCCCCCAGGCCTCCTGGCCTCTCCCAGTCACCCACCCTCACGGTCGGGAAGCCAGCGATGTTGAAGTCTCTGCAGACTTTGTTGTTGGTCTCATCAGCACAGTCCAAGGCAGCGACATTCAGTGCTGGCCTCCAGTCTGGAAGGACAAGAAATGCCACGGTGAGTAAGAGGGGCTGGCACTTTTGACCTCCCCCAGGCACACCCATCCCACAGGCCGGTCCCCAACGATTTTAGGAGAGAGACTCCCATCCCTCAGGAAAAAGCCTCTGAGATAGACTGTCTATTCTGCACACAGTTAAACAGAGGACACAGTTAAAGAGCACACAACAGTGCTGTTTTGTAATGGCATCTGTGTCCCCCATTATTTTGCAGTGTGGGGGGTACAGAGACTGAAGAAAGACATGAGATGGATATGGTGCTCCTGATTTTGCCTTTGTCTAGACAGGATCTGTGGAAGCATCTCTGAGGCCTTATCTGGGGGACCATTAGCCCCTTGAGTCTGCACCTGCCCACAGGTGGACCAGTGCCTGAACCCTGGCTTTATAGGTTTGGATCAGACCAGTAGGTGAGGAGATGAGAAGGGAGAGGAATTGGATGCTCTGGAATTTCCTACTGGACCCTTGGTGAAGGTTCTATGACCAGAAGTACTGCAGTCAGCTCAGCCGGAGTGGGTGGTACACAGGGTATTAGGGTCTGGGTCCCCAGCCAGAAATAGAGAATTAGAGGGTGGGGAGGAGAATCTAAGAAGGGCAGTGAAAAAAGGTCTGAGGCCCAAGTCTGGAAGGAAACAACAGCTCCCGAGGCCTAGGCTGGCTCCTGCATCAGGCCCCAAGCTGTGAGGCCCTCCCTCTGCTGAAACTTTGGGTAGACAGAACGACGGCAGCTTTCTGGGTGATAGCCCAGGATCCGAGAAGCAGAACACAAGCTCATCTACCAGGTGGGCCTCCTGAGCTCCGATTCCAGGTCACCAGAGTTCCATGTCACAACGAGGCTGCTCCAGACACCAGACGTGAAGTCACACACGTGGTGAGGGGTGACTGCCTGTTGCCACACTGTGTGTGCTAGTCTGTTCTGCAACCCACCCTGGGTCAGAGTCAGGGGCCTGGCAGGTAGGTGGGAGGTTGAATGAACCTTGACAGGCAACTGTGTGAGCAATAGTGAGGAGGGGAGACTAGGTGCACTGTGAGGAACCCTTAAGGAGAGAGGCTGGCTGGAGAGGAGGCTGCTGGGAAGCAGGCAGGGGCACTTGCCTGGAGCTTACCCCACAGCACCCTAGAGCCATTGGCACCTCTGGGCAAGTGTTGGGGAGGAAGCCTGGCCAGAGCACACATGTTCCCCATAGGGCCCTCTACCTCCACCAGAGCACAAACCCCACAGGGTGACAGAGGGGATTAACAGAGGTCGTACCCATACCCAGTACCCATAAGTATCCATAATACTCAAATTTGAGTGACACCCCAAGAATCATGCCTTTGCCAGGGCCTCTTCCTTCCCCACAGAACCCAAGAAACCACTGTTTCAGAAGGCATCAGGACCCCCAAGAACACTTTTTGCCCAAGGAAGGAACGCCCCTCACTTCCATGAGACAGATGCAAGAAGAGCTGACCCCGCCCAGACAGTCCCTGACCCAGTCCTCAAAAGACAGCCTCTGAAAAGCTCAAAGCAACTAAGCTGGCCCTTCTTGAGGTGACATAAGGGAGAGGCCACTGGGACAATGAGGCCGACCTGAGGCAATACCCACTCCCTCCTCTTCTGTCCTCCTCCCTTCCTTTCTCACTCTTGGCATGGAAGCTTCTGGAATCCTGCCAGGAGGGAGTGAGTACAGGTGGTGTGGGGGGGATGGGGGGGTGGCAGGAGGTTAGATGGAAGTGTTTAGCAAAGAGAGATAAGCCAAATCATATCATGCCATTTGCTCCACTTCTCCAACCCCACACCTTGCCAAGCCCTTTGGGGGAACTCTCTGGCCTTTCAGGCACATGAGGGCAGCAGGTTAAGCTTATCCAAATGTTTGCATTCTTGTTTGTACCCTGCGGCTTCACATTATACTTGCAGAGCAGCTGTGGTCACACTGCTCTGTTCTAACCCACTCTCGGCACCCCTGGTCGGGGCAGAGTCCGGCAGGCCACCCATGTGCGTTCTTATGTGATAATCCCAACCAGCCTCCAAATCTCTCTCTCCCTTTCTAACCCCACGCCTCCTCCCCCAAGTCTGGGTTCTTTATTTCCCTCTCCTCTTACCTCCCCTCCAGGGCTAGCGAGCCAGAGCTGAGGTTGCTGGGCAGCGTCTCTTCAGATGAACCTGTTTCCCTTCTGGCCAAGATTTTGGCCAGCCTTCCTCAGCCTCACCAGCCTTCCTGGCCAGCAGACACTGTTTCTACCTATGAGTCTATGGTTCATAGATGACTTAGGCTGGTTGCTACTCAGTGTTCCTTGGTGGTTCCCATTGCTGTCAGAAGAAAACCTACAGCTGTAAGACCCCTGCCCACCCATCCAGGGTCCTCTTACCACTTCCCCAAATTAAGCATCCTCAGGGATGCTGAGGGTTTTCTCCTTCCCTGAAAGCACAGGGTTCTCTCCAGGTCACACCCCTCCAAGCCTCCCACACACACCCTTACCTCCCAACAAAAACCCTTTTCAGGTCCAGCTCAGTTTGAATAACTATTCCAGACTAACTTACAAGCCTGAGCTCAGGACCCAGCTCATTTTTCTACTACGTGGTCTCAGGCCTGTCCATTCCGAAATATCATTCTGCTTTTGCATTCTCACTCTAAGCTTCCCCATTACCAGCACACAGTAGGTGCTCAGCCTCTCTCTCTTCCCGGGTACAGGTACAGGAGAGGTTAGAGTCAGTCGCCTGGGAATGCAGGAGAGGAGACCTGCTCAGGTCCATGGCTTTGCCCTAGGTAAGGGGCATCAGCACCACAGGCCTCCAATCGTGGCTCCCCCCATCCAAGGTAGGCCCTCGGGAGGGTGAGGAGTTCAGGTCAGCCCCTTCAGCCAACTGGCATACTGGAGACTTGGAGCCTTCTGTTTTGCCTCTAGGGCTCCAATTGCCTTGTTCTAGAAGACAGCCCACTGTTCTCAAAAAAGTAAGTCAATTAGATGGAAGCGGGAAGAGAGGCAGTTCCGTGGCCTTCTGCTAGCCAGGGCCATTTGGCAGGGTGACCAAGCAGCACAGGGTGACCAAGCAGCACTGCTCTTGTCCTCCCAGGGTATAGGCCACCAGCCCTCAGGGCACATTGGTGCCTGCCACCTGCTGGGTCAAGAAGACTTCAGAGGGATGAGAAGAGGACAGACCAGATAGCCAGTGTCTCTCTGGATGGTTCTCCTCCCATCACCATGGGAGCTGGGCATATTTCCTCCATGTACAAGTAAGGAAGGAGATGAGAAGTTGCCCAGGTGTTTAAAGGCTACAGACCCAAACTCACTTTTTTTTTGCTTCCACCTCAGCCGGGTCAGGCTGTTACCTTTCCATTTTTTATTTTATTTTATTAACTATTTTTGCTGTTTGCTCCAATAACAACCTTTCCTAGCAAAGGACAGTAGCCTTCTGGTTAAACACCATGTTTGTACCTCCCAATAGTCAATATCATAAACTCCGCTCTCTCTTTGATGAGAGTGTATTGTGTGCCTCATTTATCAGTTTAACGCTGGCAACTACTCTATGAGTAGACAAGAAGGTATCTATCTCCAGGCCTGCTTTCCTGTAAACTAGAGATCAAATACCCCTGGCCAAGGCACACAACTAATCAATAGTGAGCCTGGGATCTAAACCCTGAATCTAAGCCTCTCTGCTGGTCTCGAGAGGGTATGGGACAGAACAGAGAGCTGCTCCGTTTCCCAACCAGGAGACTCAGTGGAGTGGGGTATTAATGAGGACAAGGGAACAGGCCGTGCCTGGGAGTTCTCAGCACCTTGCGTCTGGGAAGTCTTTGATACCTTCTCTTTAAGTCTTGACTCTCTGTACCTCCATGAAATGAAACCCCACTTTTTTTTTACCTGCCTGGAGGGGATGCAAGGGGAGGCTAGGGCCAGTCAGATGCTGGGAGAGTCTTGGCTAAGGAATGTTTCGCAGGAATATCAATGCCAATACCATAATGAGCCATAAGGACATATAAAGATCTGGCCCGACACCATCAGTGAGGGCCTGACTAGTCCTCATTCAAGGAACAGCACAAAAACAGTGAGGACTCTTACCTGAGGTTCCCACTGGGAGAGTGAAGGTGCATTTAAGTAAATTGCATTGCTTCACAGAGGGCTAGAACTGGGCAACAGAGGCTTTTCAAAGTGTCAGGTGACTCAAATACGGCAACCTAAAGCCCTGACACCACAAGGATCAGCAGTATCAGCCTCCCCCTACCATTGGGGAGAAAAAAATTTCCTGGTGCATTACTGTCCTGTCAAAGTAATTTCACTACTAAGAATAGAGTTGATGAGCAAGAAGAGAGAGGCGGGTAGGGAGGCAAGTCTCTCCAGGACAGGCATGGAATTTGGGTGGTCGGGGGTGGGAGGGGAGCGACAGGGTGTTGGAGAAGGGGCAGCTCCTTCTGGAGTCACAAGCAGCATCCCTGTGCTCCTCACAAGTCCAAGAAAGGCACTGGCCCCAGAGTCACAAGACTTGCTTAATAGTAGTAACAGGCCAAAGTGCTACAAGCCCCATGCCACCTCTTGGCCTCAGTTTCCTCACAGGTCAGATGGGGCCCAAGAGGGATGGCCTCCCATGCCCTTTCCAATTCAGACAACGCTGTGGTATAGAGATGACAAACAACTCTTATCAGAAAAAAAGGGCATGAGGCCTCTGAGAGTTTAGCCAGCCTGGGTCTGTCTCTATTGAGGCAGAGGCCAGACCCACCCAAACAAACAAGAGCCAGTCAGGTCTGGTGGTCTGAACTGGACTCCCACAAGAGCCTCCTGGAGTGTCCTCCAGTCAGTGCTTTGCATTAATCATGCGTCCTCCTTGTTGCAGGCTTCAGGGCAATGAGGTCATAGGATAGACAAAATGCCTACCCTTGCCCTCACATCTCAGACACCCCGGGCCTGAGTCAGGAGGAGCCACGCGACCGGAAGAAGGCTCCGTCACTCACATTCTCATCTGGAACTCTATGAGGCTCATGCCTCTGGCCTCCATGAGTATTCAGTGGGCTCCTACCCTGAACCAGAAAAGGGGAAGCAAAACAATACTGCTCACTGTCACTCAAGCATCCATGCCTTACAAATCTCATCTCCATGGCTTTCAAAGGCCATCTCCCACCTGGAGGACCCTTCCTCCTCCACCCACTCTCCACCTTCCCACGTTGTGAGAGTCAGAAAGAGCTGGGTTCTAGAACCTCCTCCAGCAACTGTGTAATCCTGGCAAGTTACTTATCTGTTAAAAAAAAAAAGTATCTATTGCTCAGATGTTTTCTCATAAAGATTAAATGTAATAATGGCACTTAGCAAAGTGCCTGGCAAAGGCAAGTGTGTGATAAATAGCTGCTTGGCGTGAAGGCCTTGGGTGGCCACATCAGCCCTCTGTGACTTTCCCCTTCCCTGAATTCCTACAACAATGATCTGATCTGACCACTCCTTTGGCCTTTTACAAACAGCTTCTTGCTGTTGCCAATTTTCCCCGACTTCAATGTAAACAATACTCTGCACGCAGAGGTCACTGAACAAATATTTGCTGATTGATGAGCTGGTAAAGAGTAATGAAAGTCTGAGGTGAACACAATCGATTTCCCGAATATCTGGTGAGATGAAGAGATGCTCTGAAATAGAAACAGTCAGATCCTTTCAAAACAAGTGCTCTGACCTGGGTACCAACTGCCCAGAGAGCCACCCTAAAAGCCACGAAGGAAATGAGCCCCAGCCAGTCAGATGAAATGCTTGAGGCCCATTGGGCTGCAAGTCTTCTCTGGGCCCATGACCTTCCATACTCCTGCTGCACCTACCCCAGTCACCACACCAGCAGAGGACAGGGGCTACTACTGGCCCAGGGTGGTGTGACAGCAGCCCTCTGTTGGCCCACAATCAAACCTTCTCAGAGAATTCAGAGATGATAAGACCAACTGTGGCTTCTCAGCCTCGGCAGGCAATGACCCCCTTGGGTTGGAGGTGGGGCATTCTTCATCATTACAAGCCAATACCAGATCTTGCTTGGGAGACTAACTCACCTCCATACCGCACAGAGACCACTGGTTTCCACCTAAGTCCTTAAAGACTTTGATGTTTCCATGTTCCTTTCTGAGGTTAAGTTTTGCTTTTTTTTTTTTTAATGAAAAAACTGTCATTCCGTGTATTGGGGAAATGACCCCTTTGGGAGTGGCTGATCCAGGGGTGGGCTGAGACAGTATCTGATTTTGTAATTCACAGGAAATTTCAGTTGCAGCAGGTCATACACAGCTGGAAAAATCTTTCCCTCCAGTACTCTTAAGATATAAGAATTTTCTAGATAAATCCATCAGTAGTCATTAAAGACCTTTTCTAGACTCAAAATGGAAACTGACATAGGAATTTTTATGATGTTCAGCCCTACCAGGTCTCCTAAACACTTAATGTCCCCTTCCAATTATCCCAATTCCATAGTCAAGATTCTTCCTCCTGCCCTGACCAGACGTGCTGATGTCACTGAATTAGTGTTGAGCTGCTGAGAAATGGCACATTCAGGTGATGGGGCTAGAGAGGCATGCAGACAAGTGTCCATGTGTCTGTGTCTATGCTTATCAGTTTTGTTTAAAAATAACTTTCCAACACCTCATGGCTAACAGATGTTGCCATCTTTCCATTCACTTCAGAAGCCACTTTGCAAGCTGCTCAAAGTAAGAAGTAGCCTGAGTTTGAAAATCAACATCTACAAATGTGCTATTTTACCCCCAAACAATTGAGTTTATCCAGAAATACCAGTGGCAGGGAAACAATGGTTCCAGTTTTCCTCTCTCCAGAAAGAGGCCTATTTCCTGCCTGAGAGGCCCACAGTTCTCATTCAGGAACCATTTCTCATCAGGGGCCCTGATGGAAAGGTAGGAGGCAGCTATGTTCAGGGGTACCACAGCACCCCTGTCCCTCTCCCCCACACCCACTATATGGCTCCAGCATGTGTGCAACACCATAGAGAACTTTACAGTGTGGAAAGGAATTTCTGAGAGAAATAGTAAATTGACATACAGTAAGCAACCAGTAAGAATTAACTACTGTTATTTCCTTAGCTCTAAGTCTTAAGTTTTCCTTTTTTGTTTGTTTTAAAGTGAGCATTTCGTTAGCAGAGTACACCTTTACTGGTCTTGTCACCTCTTTACGCCTCCAACTGTTACTAAATGAATGGTGCAGCTCATAATTGATGGTCTCTTAGACTCTAGGAAATACGGTATTGGTCAGAGCAGAGGATGAGAACTTGCAGCAAAGACCGAACACAAACCAAGCGGCTGCCTGGGTCAGCTTTTGGGGCTTATGTCATTAAAAGAGGGTCTGCGAGGGTTCATGGACAACAACTCAGAGACAGAGAGCGCCGGATGGCCCGAAGTTAGCAAGCAGGAAGCAGCAGGTCAGGAGGGGCCTGAACCAGTCAGAAAACTGTCTCAAAGGTAAAGCTGAAAAAGGAAGTCCGAGTGGCAGATGGGTCAACATGCCAAGGGCGTGGGGGCAAAGTGGGCCCAGGGGCGGCGGAAAGGGTGTCAGCTCCCCTTCTTCCCAGCACCTACCCCACCGCTGCTGGGGAACTTGGCGAGGACAATCCCTAGGCGAGAGGAAGGGATGGCACAGGCTGGACCAGAAGCAGCAGTCTCGTGTCAGTGGGGCCCGAGGAGGGACAAAGGAGACGGGCAGGGGTGGCAGGGGTGGCAGGGGTGGCAGGGGTGGCAGGGGTGGCAGGGGTGGGGGGCAAGAAGCCGGCAGAGAACAAACAGGGATTGCAGAGCAGGGCTGAGGGCCCAGGCGCCAGGGAGGCTCAGGAGCTCCGGTTGTCGGCCAGAGGAAAGAGACACGGAGGGGCAGGAATCAAAAAAGCAGTCCGTGGAGGGATCTGAAACTGGGGGGGCGGGCGGGGGGTGCAGAGAGCGGGGCGGGAGAGCGGAGGTGATGGCCGGGGGAAGCGGGTCCGAAGGGAGGGGCCTTGCGCGAGGCCCTCGGGAGGGGGTCGCCACGCTGCTCCCCACTTCTCACCTTTGACGTCGTTGGCCAGAGCCTTCCACGTCGGGGCGAAGGCGATGCAGTGGCCGCACCAGGAGGCGAAGAACTCCACGGCCCAGGCGCTCCGGGAGCCCAGCACCGCGCGGTGAATCGAGTCCGCCTGCAGCAGCGTCAGCGGGTCGGAGGCCGAGTAGAGCGCGGAGCGCGGGGCCGCGCGGGCGCCCGGGGCCGCCAGCAGCAGGAGCAGCAGCAGCAGCCGCGGCCGGGAGCAGCGGCCGCACCTCCCCATCCTCGGCGGCGGCGCCCACCACCGCGCGCAAGTTTGGGGCGAGTTGATGTGGGGCTGCTCGGCGGCACCTCCTCCCTGGCTCGGGGAGGAGCCACGGGCCCCGCCCCTCGGGCCCCGCCCGTTTCGGGCCAGCCCCGCCCCGCCCCCGGCTCCCCAGCGCGGGGGCCGGAGTGGGGCGCAGGAGCCCGGGTGGTCTGTGCGCGCCCCCATCGCGGTCTGCGGCGGCTTCGGGGCTGCGTCGCTGCGAAAGCCGGAGTCCGGCCTTAGGCCTCAGGCCTCAGGAGGGGCAGAGCGCAGCTCAGACCTGGCAGCCCACAGCCCCCAATGAAAGAAGTGGGGCGTCTGCAGGACAGACCCGAAGCCCTAGACTCGGGTTCCAGTGGCTGAGGGGAACTCGGGGAGGTCATTTGACGTTTCACGGCCTGGTAGCCATCGGAAGGGTGCCCGCCAAATAGATTGGACCGATTTAGGCCTCTCCGGGGAACTTCTGGGGAATCCCTACCAACCAACAAGTTATTGGGAATTAGCAGCAGGTGGGAGAGTAGAGGAAAGGGTAGGGTAGGAGCACTATCTCTGAGTCTGTTACCCGCGGGCCTGTGACCATCTAAGGGAAACATTATTTGAGGACTTTCTAATCACGGATGAGAATTCCCCTCGATAGGCTGCGTGGGTTGGCACAGCCATTGCTGTGGAATCAGGATTTCGTCAGCATTTAGGTCAGGCCTGCCAACCAGGAGTTAGGGTGACTCCTTCACTTGGGGCTCCCAGCAGCCAGATTCCCCCATAGCTAACTCTACAACCTGCGCTCAACTCTCCACACTCAAATGCCCCTCTCACAAGTAACCTGCTAATCTTGTGCACCTGTGTACTGAGTTATTCATGGTTAATTTTCCCTAGTCACGTTTTGTAGTTTGGATCATGTGGGTGGGTTATTTTAAGAGAAGGGGGTCCCCTTCAGAGGGTTGTCACAGTCATCTTTTCCAGCACATCTCACCTGTTTGGATGACCCCTGTTTGGATGTTCATTCAATATTCACTAAATGGTTTCTTGTCCCTGACACTGCTTGGAGGTTCTGAGACTAAGGTGGTAAACTTTATTGAAGTAACCACCTATGGTGGTTGTGGAACTTACATTCTAGTGAGGATAAGGCTGGAGAGAGGATACACGAGTAAATGTCTATCCAATGGTGATAAATGCTATGAAGAAATATGCAATGGGGTAAGAATAGAGTGACAGAGGAAGTGGTATTTCAGGGTGATCAGGGATGGACCCACCCCTAACATTCATAACTGGGTCAATAGTACAAATGGAAGCCTACATGTCATGCATCCATATGTTTAGAATTTGGTATAAACCAAGTTAAACCATAATGTAAAATTCCTACCCTTTTATCTCAACAAATATACCTTCATAATAATCTGGAACACCAAATTTAAATTTAGAATTCTTGGATGTGCCGTGGAATTGGGTGGTTTAAGGGTGAGCGATACCTGGCACTAAGCCTTCCTCCTACTCTGCACTTCAACTCCATCACCTCAGGGGACGCTGTGCCCACACCTATAACATCCCTACCTGGACATCTGAGCTTCATCCACACTGCAAATACCTGCTCCTTGGTTCTTAAGAAGATAGACCTTCTGGAAAAGGTCACTGCAGTTCTAGAGTCTCAGGGACCCACAGTATGATCTACAAATGGGTGAGGAGCAGGACCTTTGGGTGACACATCCCCTTGGCCTATGGGCTTCTTGTTCTGTGGAAAGAGGCATAGCTGGGACAGGGCAGAGAGCTCAGAGTTCAAGGTAGGGCACCCTCTTGCCCTTGCTCATATGGCACTTCTAACAAGGTAACATTTAAGCCAAAGACTGCCATGGCAGCCTAGCACGAGAGCATTCCAGGCAGAAATGTAGAGGTTGGAATCACTGCTCTTGTGTGTTCATGTTCTCTTCGGCCAAAGTCCTGAGCTGCATAAGGAAATGATACGTTGACAGTCACTACTTCCACCAATTCCAGTTTCTGGGTAATCCTCCTTGGAAACCAGTCTCTGTACAACCTCTGTGTCATGCCAGCAAGGCACAGAGCAGGTTTTCTGTGATCCGGGCAGGCGGGTAAAGGAGAGTCCTGGAGCCCTCAGTGGCTTTTTCAGGTTTGTGGTTTTTTTTTTTTTTTTTTTAAGATTTATTTATTTATTTATACAAGCACTGGGTAAAGTCAGAAGCACGGGAGGGTGAGAGAATCCACAAGAGCCAGAGTGGGGAACAGAACAGGCAGACTGACGAAATACACTGCTGAGGGGAGCAGCGGGCGTCAGGAGAGGTCTGCGCGCCATGTGGGACCCTCGCCCGGTGGCCAGGGATCGAACCGGAGCTGCAGAGGCTGCGGGCACCTTCGCAGCCCAGTGCTCAACCGCTGAACCACCAGTTCAGGCCCAGCTTTTTCAGGTTTTTAATGATCTTTCTACGCCATTGGTAGTAAGGCAACCAGGGCCAGGGTAGGTAGGGAGGCCAGGAGGCCTACCAGCCTCCTGGTCTCTCCTCCCCCTGCCACCTCCTAGCGAATCTTCACTCTTTCTGGGCTCTCTGGTGTTCTCTCCTGGTCTCTCCACTGGCCTCTACTGCACTCGGGCCGTGCAGTCCTCCACCTCCACCCGTCCTCTCCCGATGCCCTTATAAGATCGGTTTGGCTCAGGTGCACCCATTCCGCACACCCACACCACGCCCCAGGTGCCACCATCAGGCGCGCATGTAAGACCACAGGTGCCCATCACTGATGCTAATGGCGGGAGGATAGAAAAAACCCAATCGCTTCCATTTACCCTACACTCTGCCACCCCACTTTGTTCACTCCTAGCAGCTACTATGACTTCCAAGACAAGGCAGGTCTGGTCTGGGGACCTCACGATACATGGTTGTCGGGGCCATTGGAAAACAGTTTTCTCAGTTTCTCAGTGTTTTTCACAGTGACCTTCCAGCACAGGTGGCCTAGTAGATAACATATAGCCTCGAGATGTAGTCCACATGTGTGGAAAGCAGTAAATAATAGTGTAACCTTGATGTATAGTTCGCATGCACAAAGCACACTTCTGTAAACGGGGCTTAACCTTGGCGCTGTGCCAGTTTTGTCTATAAATCACATAAAAACTAATAGGGCTCATCCCAGGAGCCACGCGCTGGCCTCTCCCAAGGCACAGGCCACTTCTGTGGCTGAAGCCCAGAGGGGCTGCCACTGTTGTCACCTATGTATCTCCTGCTACTTCACAATAAAGACTGGTTCCTGCTCCCCACATGTGGGCTTCAGGACCTATTTTCTCATCTGCCACCATGGAGAACCTGGCAGACTTGTAGCTGAGGCTCCTCACTGGTCCCCTAGTAAACTTAGAGTTTAGTGGTTGAAAGTACCCCAGCATCCCAACAGGATGCCAATAAAATTCAAGTGCCTTCAAATGTCTCTCTTGTTAACTGTGTTGCGAGTATCTTCCCTCTGGGCCTGGGAATCAAGGTGACAATGTGTGCTGAATGTGCTGAGCTGGGGAAAGACCCTAGATAAGTATACAAAGACTTGCTTGTTCCTGTTTCTATTTCAGGCTGTCAGATCTGGAAAAGAATACAAACTACTTGAATAGAGTAGAGAGTGTTTCTTGGCAACGGGGCCAAGGAATTTAGAACTGAGATTGTAATACCTGGGTCTTCAATATCTTATCTCAGAGCAGGAATTTTCAAGTTGTTTAAGTCTGGGAAGGCTTTCACAAATGAAAACTTTGAAAGGAAGTGTAAACAGATAAAAGCAAGCTGGAGGGTGTGACCTGGAATGGTACCCAGTTTCTGTGGTCAAGGAGCCATCTTAGGAACCCCAGTGCTCCCCTGGCCACTATTTGAAAAGCACTAATGTAGAAAACATAACAATCACAGCTTGCCCTGCTTGCCTTTCCAGGAGCTTCTTGGGTGGAAAGGTGGCAGAGATGGAAGTCTACTCAGGAAAAGCGTATGACTGGGGAAGGGTTCTCGGAAAGCATTGAGAGTGGGGGACTTAGGGATTCCTACCCGGGTGCCCTGCCCACCTCCCTACCTGCAAGTTATAGAAAAGTGAGCCAACATGAATCAGATGATCGAGAATAATAATAGATTAGCTAACACTTTGCACCTGCTGTGCTAAGCACTTACAGATGTTACTCACTTAATCCTCACACCAGCTCTGTGAGGTTGGTGGTGTTATTATCCTCTTTTTACAGATGAGGATACAGAGGTAGAAGGAGCCCTGTTGACTTTCCCACTTGTGAATCATTCCTGTGTTATGCATGAATAAAAGAGAGGGAATTTGGGAGTTTGTCAACCAAAAATGAGATAGATGGTAAGAGAATGCAGCATATACACAAATACAGATAATGATGGTGAGTAACGAAATAGTGTTTGGTAAAATATGTCACCTGGTAGCAGGCCATTAAGCGACCTTCTACTTACTCATTTGCACTGACAATCAGGGAGGGCGTGTGCACCCGGAACAGAGAAGGGACTTTTTCTCTGTCCCTTTAAAACTTCCTCTAGGTCTATAGGATGAACATTTCCATAGCTGGGGCGGGTTAGAATCCTAATTCTGAAAGTCAGTTGTGTATGGCAGGAAAGAGAAGTCACACCCAAAGGGGGCTGGTTAGTGGAAAGGCTGTTTAGAGATGTGTGCAGGGTAAAGGGAAGTGACGAGAGATGGTGAGGTCCTAGGACTGACAACAGCAAGGAGTTCTTACTGCTCTGGAGGGGATGAGGGGCATGAACTCTGTGATAACCAGGGAGAGCTGGAGTTAGGTAAAGGGGCCCCCCAAGGGGAGCTGTTGCTGCTGCCAGATGCCACCCCTGCTGGGAACACAGGGCAGTAGAGGACAGCAGAGAGGTAGTGGGAGAGTCTCACTTCCCCCTTTCTCTCCTCCAACCTCTGATCTCTTGCCAGTACCTCCCCTTGGCCAAACCCAGTCAAACCCAGAGAGTGAGTGTTTCCTGATTATATTAGTCCATGGATGATGACTTCCAAGACAAGGCAG